ATTTATACTTATAATAAATCTGTAGAGAGGTCAATTCTGGACATGAAATATATTTCCAAAATAACTATCAGGGGGTGATTAGTGATCGATACTGATGCCAAAAATGCAATCAGTAAAATTTTTATCTGTCTATCTGTCTGTATGTTCGTTATAACATAAAAACTACTCGACGGATTTTAACGAAACTTGGTACAATTATTCTTCATATTCCTGTGCAGGTTATAGTATACTTTTCATCACGTTACGGTCAATAGGAGCAGAGCAGTGAAGGGAAATGTTAAAATGTCCACTCGTGCGACGCCGGGACGGGCCGCTAGTTTTCTTTTTTTTTTTTGATGGGTGAAAATGGTATGGTAACCCCGCCTGCGCTAACGGGATACGCTGGCGGAGCACCAGTGAAGGATGATAGATGAGAATGAAAACAGGCCAGTTAGCCCATCATGATGAATTCATTAGGAATTAACCATGATAGTTTCAAGGGAGAACCGCGAGGAGGTCGACCTGGTTGGGTATATTGCTAGCAATGGGATTCTCAGTCTCCATTACTAACAATCCCTTTCCCCCCGCGGGCTGCTAGTTAACAAAAAATTCACGATGACTTATATACCTAGTACATAGTTGAAAGAACTAGGTACCTATGAATATTCTCTTGTACCTACCGAAGTTCTGAATGCATAAAAAATTTCGAATGACAGGTACTTTGTTTCTTTTAATTGTTAATAATTAAGATAAATTTTATTTTTATTACACAACTTGTTGCCAACAAACAAAAAGAGCTGATAACTTCAGATAACAATAACTCAAGAATACGAGATGACTTTGACATAGTTTAATTAGTAAATAATATATTTTGTAATAGAGTGGGCGGTAATGATTTTGTTTTAGTAAGAAATTTAACGTCGGCAGCACACCTGCAATGCCTCTGGTGTTGTAGGTGATCATTGGCGGCGGTAGTCACTTACCATCAGATGAGCCGCATGTGTTTGTCCCCTGTGTTGTATAAAAAAGTTTGGTATTTGATTTCAGAACTGGATCTTACATTAAAAAAAAAATTAAAAAAAATTTAAATTAATACTATAATTTCGATTCCTAATCGCTAGACAAATCTAGACAATTAGCAAGCGAATTCGTCGATGGAATCGTTATCGAAAGCGAGTTCACAAGTTGGAATGAGACATTCGATGTTGCTATCTCATCCTATCTTACGAACTCAGCCCTCTAACCAATTGATAAGCGAATCCGTCGACGGAATCGTTATCGAAAGCGAGTTCACGAGCTGGAACGAGACATCCGACGTTGCTATCTCATTCTATCTCACGGACTCGCTAACGATGTCGATTCCATCGATGAATTCGATTGCCACTTGTCTAGAGGGCTGAGTTCGTGAGATAGGATGAGATAGCAACTTTTCTGATTATTTTTTTCACTGGTAGTAATGGAATGGTAACCCCGCCTGCGCTAACGGTATAGGCTGGCGGATCACCATTGAGGGATGATAGGTGAGGATGAAAAGGAGTTCAATTAGCCCATCCTGATGTTTGACCCAATGTGATGGCCCAAGTGAATTCACTTGAAATTAGAACACGATGGTTTCCAGGAGGAATCGCGAGGAGGTTGACTTGACAATACACCTTGTATTGCTAGCAGTGGTGTTACTAATCCCTATTATTAACAATCTTTTTTCCTCCCACTTTTCTGATTAGGCTCGGGCCTGGCTATTCTGGATTGTGTCTTCAGATACTCTTTGCTTGGTTCCCCATAACGCAGGGGATGCTAGCTTGAGGACCAGGTGGTTGGTTTGTTTCTGTGGCATTATTATTATTATTATTTATAATATATACGGTGGCTTATAGGGTTTTTAAGCGCCAATTCACTAAACCTATCTTTGAAATTTAAATAAAAATTTAATATCACAAAAATCTTCACTGTAAAGACCGATATACATTAATTGTCTAATAGATTTAAGTCAGAATTATTATTATTTTAGTTTGAAGTTGGTTTTTTTGTAGGACATAATCTTTAATTATATATAAATAGAACTAAGTAAGTTTCTATTGAGTAAGCATTATATAAAATTAGATATAATAAACAACTACTATAGGTATTTTCAATGATTATTGACCCCAAGATTATAAATATCATTAATATGGTAAAATTATAAGATAAACATAAAAAAAATATGATCCAATCAGAATAGTAGTCTAACGTATAAGAAAGGATAGTTGGTAATGGAGACTAGCGGCCTATTGCCAGCAATATACCCTATCAGGTCGACCTCCATCCGGTTCCTTCTGGAAACAATCGTGGTTAATTCTTGTCCTAACTGACCTGTGTTTTTATTCAACGATAAATTAGTCACGATGGTTTCCAGGGGGAACCGCGTGGAGGTCGACCTGATAGGTTATATTGATAGCAATGGGGACTTACCTCCCCATTGCTATCAATCCCTTCCTCTCCCCCCCCCCCCCCCCGCGGGCGGGGTTACTATTTTATTATCATCCATTAAAAATACTACATGCAGAATTTGCTGATAAATAGTTAGGTATAACATGTTTCGTTTAATTTGTTATAGGTATGTACCTACTGTGATTGACGCATTGTTTTTTTTTTATGGAATACTGATTATGTATGTATAAGTACGTACGTACTTAATAATTTTTGGTATTCGCTTTTATTCATGAATATGTAAAACGTTTCAAAAACCTATTTTAGATGTTAAACTATTTAGTAATAATTAGTGGTAGAAATTCGACCATAACATATATTGTAATAAATTAATTTATTATGGTTATCTTTGACATTCAGTGAGACTGTAAACAAATAATATTAAACACAAACAATATTAATCTATCCTCAATTTGACCACAGACTTTAACCATAAACAAAAGAGTATATATGTGTGTATGTGTCAAGTACCTGATAGTATGTGTAATTTTTTTTTATTGATTTAATGTATTTTTTATGTATAATTAAAAAAAAAATATTAGCATTCTGCACTGTAATGAAATGAAATATTTATTTGCTTTAAACAGACATTTGACATTATAAGGGCCATGTGACAAATCTTTTTGGCATCTGTTTAATTGCCTTAAAATTGTAGGCGTGCAAATCTAATTTATTGCTTAAATAGGGATACAAATTTAATTTAGACATTATTATGGTTATAGAATAATAAAAAAAAAAAAAAGAAAAAGAAACAACTCTCAAACAATTATCAAGTCAAATCAATAAATTTAAGTACATATTCAATATCGTCAAATAAAATTAACAATTACATTATTATTATTAATGTATAAAAAATTAGGGGGTTTTGCCAGTGGTTGTAACGCTTAGCAGACGCTGCTGCCTACCCTTCGCTCTCTCTTAGTCACCTCTTACAACACCCACAGGAAAGGAAGGGGTGACCTATTCTATATCGGGACCACACGGTGAAGATAACGGCCAATTACCATTTTTTTTAATGGATGATGAATGGAGTGATAACTCCGTATGCGCTAACGGTATACGCTGGCGGGGCACCAGTGAGGGATGATAGGTGAATAATGAAATAAGCAGGGCAGGCAGCCCATCGTGATGAATACACCTGGAACTCAGCACAAATGTTTTCAAGGGGGAACCGCGTGGAGGTCGACCTGACAGGGTATATTGCTAGCAACGGGGCTGGTAGTCCGCATTACTAACGATCCCTTCCCCCCATTACCAAAGAGTAATGTAGGCTATATATTATTTACAAAAATTCTATTTACCCGATATATATGAGGTAACAAACATAACAAAAATACAACAATATTAAAAAAAGACCAGTGGGAGACTTTGTACAAAAGTCGATTGCTTGGGTACCTCTGTCCCATTCGTGTTTCAACCGTGAAGCAGTTGTGTTTGCATGGCTGTGTTTCGGTTTAAAGGGTGGGATATGGCGTGAATTTACAGGGTACAGAGGAATAACACCTGAGTCCTCAGGAATGGCAACGCATGGGGGGTATCATGGGCGAAACAGTATACTCTGTTATGTCCATGGTACTGCTCATGTCTATAGGCGACGGTTACCACTTTCCATCAGGTGGGCCGTCAGCTTGTTTGCCATTCTATGTTGTATAAAAAAAAAGAGCTTCACTCTTTTTGAAGTCGGTTGTAAAGTACTTAAATAAGTATGACTAATCATAGGTGTCTTATCAAAAGCAAAGTCAATTGGTCACAGACCTCATCGATTTATCACAGTTCACAGCTGTGTCGTAAGTAATAAATTTTACTGCAACGAGAATTAATTTAAAGAAATCGTTTTAGTTCCGCAAACGGCGCGAGCAATGGGCAAAACAAATGTGAAGTTCCAGGCTTCCATCTAAGGATTACCACCATGATCTCAAGTTGTTTGGGATTAAATAGACTACTCTATAATAATCATTATTGGAATATGATTTTCATCATTATCATGTCAACTGGTAACTGTCCACTGCTGAACAAAAAAAAACCGCCCAATATGGGGAGACCTATCCCCATATTGGGCGGTTTTTTTTTAATGGGTGGTAATGGTATGGTAACTCCGTCTGCGCTATCGGTATACGCTGGCGGGGCACCAGTGATTGATGACTGATGAAGATGAAAGCAGGTTAGTTAGCCCATTCTGACGAATTCAACTAGAATTAGCTACGAGGATTTCCAGGGGGATCAACGTGGAGGTCGACCTGATAGGTTATATTGCTAGTAATGGGGCTATTTGACCCCATTACTAACAATCCCTTTCCCCCCACATTGGACGGTTTTGTCAGTAGTTGCCACGCTTGACAGGCAGGTTGGTAACCGCAGTTAGGCCTTGGTGAAGTTTTAAGAGGGACGTTTCGAAGGATAGGTAATCCCTTGACCATTAAGTTCTCTTAGTTGCCTCTTACGACACTCACGGGAAAAGAAAAGGTGTTCTATGTCGCACAAAATAATAATATTGTACCACTAAAAATACTTTGTAAACTTGCAATTTATTTTAATATCAATATTTTTATTTCCAGTTGAAATTTCGCATCAAGCATCGATAACCGAGCCAAAAGTCATAGTGACCATACAAGACTGTTACGAATCAATAGTGAAAGGATTAAGAAATGCAAAAATTAATGCCAAAGTGATAATATTAGATGAACCAAACCAATCAGGTATACCTGATGGAGCTATTAGATATTCAGAAATCGCTGAGAATGGTGAAGCAGATTACGCTATGTTGGAGAAAATTGAAAGAAAAGAAGACGATATAGCTTTTATACCGTTCTCTAGTGGTACAACAGGACTGCCCAAAGGAGTAGAGCTTAATTATAGGAATGTTTTGGCTGCAATGGAGTGTATGCAAAGAGACGAGAACCGTTATTCGGAATTAGCAAATGGTAAGTGATTGATTGACAATCATAAATCATTGCGTCGTCAATTCCCAATTATTTGGGGTCGGCGAACGTACTTCATATTATGCTTGTAATGTTTTTAAATTGTATTTTTGCTATCTATATCATAATTGCCTTGTTTTTTCAATCAACCGTCATACCTGAGCTCATTTCTGTTCGATGCATTATCATATTTCACACAGTGCATTCACCTCTGATTTGGTTGTTTTCTTCCTTTACATCCATCTACTTAATCTTCTTTAAAACATAATAACTACACAATTTATCCAAAAAGTGATTGATTGAAAACATTGATTCCAAATTTGTGGTAAATATATATATATAAAAAAAAATTAATATTCATAGAGACTAAACTTGTATCATTATTTAAAATTTCTGTTTGGCTTTATTCTTGTCCATTCTATGTTTCCTTCCACTGCCTCAGATTGATTGGAAGAGATCTCTTTTAAAGATAAATTTACCTTTTCTTACATTATTTCTGCATGTTATTATTACTGTATGTCTGAGCACAATAAAAAATATTTAAAAAAAAAGTTAATATTCTTCATTGTACATTTATATTTAAACGTGATACTTTTTTTTACAATTCAATTCCGTTTAATATTTTCAATTTAAATTTATTGACTGCTTGTAAATAATGGAGTTTTTGTGCCTTTATGATTTTGTTATATTGTTCCTCATTCAGTCCAGTGTCTTTCTAATTTATTCGGTTACTTTTTTTTCTCATAATAAGCAAAAAAATATTTTTTTTTTCATATGTAAATAATACATATTATATTTTTTAAAATGACTGTTTAAAATGACTTAACGCGAATTTTTGTTTGTTAAAACGTACATATAAAATTATTTTCGTTCCGTCGTTCGCATTATTTGAGTATTTTTTTTTAATGGATGATAATGGAATGGTAACCCTACTCGCGCTATCGGTATACACCGGTGGGACACTAGTGAAGGATGATAGGTGAGGATGAAGTAGGTCAGTTAGCCCATCGTGACGAATTCAACAAGAATTGTTCATGATGGTTTCCAGGGGGAACCAGGTGTACGTCGACCTAATAAGGCATACTGCTAGCAATGGGGCTGTCAAACTCCATTGCTAACAATTCCTTTCCCCCTTATTGTTTGAGTTAGGTAAAACTATGTGATGAGACGCAGGTTGAATGAGAGAACATAACCTCAATAGATAAGCGCCCTTATCGCTTTATTTACATTCAGAAATGAATTGTTTTCTTAAACGATTATATTTACCTACCGTTGGTTATGTTATTTACATAATTCCTATGTTTATCTGTTCTTGAAGAAGCATTTAATTATATGCTACAAAAACAGACATAGTTATATTAGTAATAGATAATTATCTATATATGTACATGATTTACTATTAGAGTAGGTAAATCAAGACGAATTAAATTTCTAATACATTTAAGTCAAAATGATTATAAATTTAATCTATAATTGTCCATAAATCTACTGTTTTATGAACAAACATAAACTCGTACGGGTAAATGCAGTGTAGGACGACCCCCCACTAGATGGAGTGACGACCTGAAATCATTCATTGCAGAGAGTCAGTGGATGCAGATGGATCAGGACCGTTCTTTATAGCAGTCTATGGGGGAGGCTTATGACCAGAAGTGGACGGATAATGGCTGAAATGATGATGATGATGATAAATTCAATTTTGCGAAATTATTTAATTAATAATATATTAGATTAAGAGAAATGTCTCCTCAGAATCGGTCACATTGTAATTTAAAAAAAGTTTTCATTTTTTATTCGGTATACGGAAAATAAAATGTGTTTATTTACTTTTTGTTTGTTTTTTTTTTTCAGGTACCTTCCAAGACATAGTGCCGTGTATTCTACCATTCTACCATATTTATGGTTTGATTGTGACTTTGACCGGCCATTTGTGTACTGGGTGCAAGTTAATAACAGTGCCAAATTTTTCCGCTAGATTGTTTATGAATTTATTGAAGGCGAATGAAGTCAGTTTACTTTACATTGTCCCGCCCATTGGTAAGAAAATAGAGGAATTATTTAATAGCTTTTACCTGATAATATGAATCATTATTATATTGATGAAGTCGCGATGATAGCATGGCATATCCCGAAGGATAAGCAAACTGTAGTGGCAATGGGCTGGTCACATAGCTTGAAGAACCTCCAACAGATTGAGAAGAAAGATTCTTCAGTGGCGACTCCGTACGGATAAACATAGTGGACGATGACTCTTTTTTTTTTTTTTTCTGAATGTGTTTGCTGTTGGCCGTGTGTGGCCTTTACAGCTTCACCGGACGCGAATGCAGGGGCGAGTGCTGATGGCACTCCAAGCCCGCGAGAGGGGAGCGACAGAGGTGTCGACTCTTTCTTATGGACTGCGGTGTGTGTGTGCGCCTAAGGGCGCCAGAGTGGCTCGGCCTCGGCTTAGGCCACCGCACTTCGACCCCCGTCGAGGGACGGCGAAGGGTCGGTACGTCTGGGTGGGTGAGATTGCGACGCGGTTGTTATGCGCTCGGGCGCAAACCTGATCGCGCGCGGACCGTGTGTCGCGAGGGTTCTTCGCCCCCGCCGGCGGGGGCGGTGTGTGCGATGTGTGGGTGTGTTTGTAGGGGCTCTTGTCGAGGGTTCCGCGGTAGGTAGGGAGGGAGACGCGTTTGCCGTCGTAGTTGGATCATCGGGGTCCAAGAGTGCGTGCCTCGGGCGACGACGTTTTGGAGCGACGTTCTCTATGGGGGGTTTGTATTTGACCGCTCTTACTATGAGCGGATTTGAATGGGACTCGGCTGAGGCAAAGTAGCGTCGAGACGCTTGCTTCATAAATTGCCTTATAGTGGGTATTTTGAGGTCGCGGTGTAGATCCACGTTGCGCACGTACCACGGGGCGCCCGTGGCTCGTCGCAGAAATTTATTTTGCACCACCTGAAGGGGGTGAAGTAATGAAGGAAGGGCGTGGGCGAAGACGACACTAGCGTACGTCATCACCGGTCTTATACATGCTTTATAGAGCGTCAGCTTTGCGTTAAGCGACAATTGGCTGCGCTTGTTAATAAAGGGATGGAGGCGTCCCAGTATAAAATTGGCCAGGCCTCGGACGCGCTTAAGATGAGATGCGAAACTCAACTTGGAATCTAGTGTCACGCCTAGGTATTTGGCTTCATTCGTCCAGGGGACGGGCGTGCCAAACAGCTGAATAGAGGCGGGAAGGGATGGTTTTCTTTTGGCCGTGAAAAGCACGGCGGCGCTTTTATCTGGGTTGACTTCGATGCGCCATTTTCTGAACCAGTAGGCCAGCTCGTCCACCGCCCGTTGAAGCCTGTTGGCTGCACAGGCGGCCGACGTGCTGTCCACATATAGGGCTGTATCATCAGCAAAGAGGGCGATTTGCACTCGGGGCTGACGCGGGATGTCGTTGGTGTACAACGAGAAGAGGGTGGGGAGAGGACAGCGCCTTGAGGGACGCCGGCTCTAATCGGTCGTGCGCTGGAACGCACTCCATTGACGCGATAGCGATATGACCTATTGGACAAGAAGGCTCGTATGATGTGCACGAGCCTGTCTGGCACTCCCATCTTGTGCAGTTTGAAAATCAAGCCGCTGTGCCAGACTTTGTCAAAGGCCTTCGCTACGTCGAGAAACAGGGCACATGTGACCCCGTTGGATTTCAGGTGTCGGGCGTTGAGGACGTGTTCTACTACACGATGTACTTGATGAACAGCTGAGTGCTTGGCTCTAAAGCCGAACTGCTCATCGATCAGGATGCCTTTGGACTGTAGCCAGTCTTTCAGGCGTGCGAGTATTAGCTTCTCATACAGCTTCCCCAGCGAGCTGAGGAGACTGATGGGGCGAAAACTGGTGGGAAGGGACTTATCTTTCCCAGGTTTGGGAAAGCCTACGACATCGGCTTCTTTCCAAGCATCTGGAAAGATGGCATTGGTAATTGCCGCATTGAAGATCGCTACTAGAAGTAGCAGAATGGTTTCTGGCAGACTCTTAAGGAGTCTGTTGGAGATACCGTCGGCACCGGGTGCCTTTCGGTTGGGGGTTCCTTTGATGAGTGTTCGCACCTCATCCAGTGTAACGGGGGGGAGTGACTCTACTGGAGGGATCGACAGGATTCGCTCCACCTCGGATTCTACCTTCTCTAGATGATCATCGGGCACCGGAAGGGTACTCGGCATGCATTGGGCCTCTAGGCTGTCTGCTAGGCATTCAGCCTTTTCTTCATCAAATAAGGCCGGACTGTTGTTTGTTCGGACTAAGGGCGGAAGGTCGGAGTAACACTGGTCTGTTTTGAGGGTTTTGGCTACTCGCCAGTACGCGGTATGGCAGGGGGTGAGTTCTTTGGTGAACTTATCCCATCTGTCTCGCCGAAGTTCCGCTATGCGACTCTTTACTTCGCGCTGTAAATCTCGCAGGCGGGTTCGGTTCTCTTCTGAGGGATAGCGGTCATACGCTCGTGTGGCTGCATTCTTAGTGCGCAGCAGAGCCCTTACATCATCAGGCAGGTTCCATCTACGGTCGCCCGTATCCGGAACCTCCCTGGAGCAGTCCTTGACTGCCGACTGCAGGTGCTCTGTTAGCGCGTCAATGGCTGTAGTCGTCTCCTCGATAGATTCGACTACGTCCGGGATGCGGTCCAGTACCGGAGAGTTAGTCGACTCGAGGACTTTCTCGAGCCGGCTCCAGTCCGTGACCGTTTTAAATTGAGGCGCCCCGTCTGCAGGTGGGCCTAGCGAGAATGTGACGGGGCGGTGGTCGGAGATGAGTTCGGCATGGACCTCCATAGAACTCAGCCTTAAGGCTACGTTCTTTAGTAGGGCCATGTCGAGGATGGAGGGCTGATGAGCAGTGTTTGCCGGATAGTGCGTGAAGTGCACTGGGGGAAGGATGTCGAAACCCATGGAGAGCGAAAGGCGTTCCAGGGTGAGACCGTTTGGGTTCGGATAAGCACAGCTCCAAAGGCTGTGCTTGCAATTTAGATCTCCGGCAATAATTACCGAATCCCCCAGGTCCATGAGAGCTTGGAGGTCGGCCCGGAGTAGCTTTTTGGAGGGAGAGAGATATGCCGATGCTATATAGATCGGTCGGTGGTCTGTCATCGCGAGGAGGCATATCGAGGCTTCCATGTTTACGAGCGGAGGCGTGTCGATCGGAATGCACTGAAGGGACCTTCGGTAATAAATTAACGTACCGCCGCCGCGACTGATGCGGTCATTGCGTACGATATTGTAGTTTGCGATTCTTGGACCGCGTGTTGAAGGCTTGAGGAAGGTCTCCTGTAGTAGGAGAACGTCCACCTGATGGACGGTGAGAAACTCACGGACTTCGTCTCTTTGCCCTTGTAGTCCGTTAGCGTTGAAAAACGCTAACTTAACGGACCGAGGTTTGCATCTTTTCGCCCTTAGATCCATAATTAATTGTTAAAATTGAGGATGGCGACTAGTACGCCGATGTGCTCGCAGACGGCTGCGAGTCTTTCTTGTGGGTCGTTGACTGACCTTAATTTGGAGGCCAGGGCCGTAATCTCGCCAGCGTCGATGGAGCTGGCGAGTTTCGCTACCAGTGCGAAGTCGGCTGCGAAGCTTGAGCCTATGTTCGTTCCAGTTTGCGGGGCGGGGCGCGGAGGAGCGGGCGATGCCACAATCTTGGCAAGCGTGGGAGCGGTTGCAGATGGCATGGTGGGTGAGGGGGTCGCCTTGACGACCGGAGGTCGCACCCAAGCATTTTTTGGCGGGGGAGGTGGTGCAGCTGAGGGCTGCGGGATAGTAGGGGGCGCGGGGCGTGCTGCGCGGGGTGCCTGAGCCTTTGTGGCTTTTGCGGAGGCCTTGTTTTGGCCGGGACGGGGAGCGCGGGGACATCCGCGGTAGTTAGCTGTGTGGCCCTGTGTGCCACAGAGTACACAGCTAGGTGGGGTCGGGGTGCCACTCACGCGAGTGCATTGCTTGGTGCCGTGGTCTCCCAGGCACTTGACGCAACGTTCGCGCGCGTAGCAGTTTCGGGCGGAGTGCCCATAATTTTGGCAGCGGTGGCACTGCCCGGGGTAGGTCCGCTTATTTGGCGGTTCTACTGATAGGCCTGAGATCAGGCAGACACTTCGGATGTTGAAGATAGATTTCCCCTCTGGGGAGAGATCTAGTACCACTAGTACCATGTCTAGTGGCGTTTTGGCCCTGCTGCGGTACATCCTGTGTACCTCGTGGACGGGGTAGTTTTGTGAGCGGATATCTGCAAGGATGTCCTGGCAGTCCAGCTCCTTAGGGACGCCGCGTATTACTACGCGCAGTCGTTTCTCCTCCTCGAGGGCATAAGTGTGGTAACCCACACTGTTTGTCCTGAGGAAGGAAGTTAACTGGCGATGATCCGTCGATGTGGGAACCACTACTCTGATTCCTAGTGAGGTTACCCTTGCATGGGTAAAGGATATGCGCTTTTCCTTCAGCGCAGCTGACACCCTGTTCCAGGCTGTCTTGTCCTGGATGATTATAGGAGGAGGAGGCCTCACTTTCCCCGCGTGATCGCGGTCGGTTTTATCGGCGTTAGCCGGAACGGGTGCGCCATCGTTGGCACGTTGGGTTTTAGGCGGGGGAAGATCGCGCGCCCGCTTCGCGCGTTTGGTGCGCTTGGCACCCACAATTTGAAATTCCTCTTCCGAGGAGGAGGCAGTGTCGGAGGAGTCGCCTGTTTCGGCGACGACGTTGGGAGCGTCTAGCTCCATTTCCGTTTCAGAGGAGGGGCGGTTGGGAGCAACCTCCTGTGGGGACATCGGCTCCGGGGTACTCACTAGGTGGTCCCCGGGGGAAGGTGGGTTTGAGGACAGCTCGTCGTTGGCCTCCTGAAGGGAGGCCGCCGGCGAGGCAGGGGCGTCGTCATGTATCACATGTGCGCCCCTGCGCTCATCGAAAAATGCCTTTAAGAGGCCAGGACATTTGGCCTTTAAAAAGGCCACGAATTGTGGAATGTCATCCTGGGACAGCGACATGTTGTCCCAGGAAACACTCCTCTTATAAATTAGCAATGCACCCGACTCTTAAGTCGGGTGCCAATACCTAAAAATAATTTAAATTTATAATACGGACAATGCGCTACTATAAAAGTGGACACAAAAAATAAGCCGCTACAAGCCGCGTATATAAGGGCCTGTTGGGACCTGTCCAGGTATGAGTCGCCCTTTATACAAGGATTAGTCACCGGCCGGGCGACGGTTACCCGGCCGCTTTGTGTACAGTTAACCGCCCCGCCGAGTACGGCGGGGGGGGGTGTGCCTATTGTTAATGTAACAATGGAATGTAGTCACCGGAGTGACTTGTGTACCTGTTGCCGATACTTGGCCGGGGTGTCGAAGGCGGCGCGGGTCGCCGGGGAGGAGAGTGCTGGTCTCTGGCACCGGCTCCGGAGCTGGTGCGCTGCGCTTATGGCGCAGTACACCACCCTAACACTTGTTAGTCCGATGCACTAGAGTTCACAACACTACACAATTGTCACTTGTAACTGTTCACATGCACTCACTGCACTCGCGACGCGACGAGGTGGCAGCGCGTGCCGTGTACGCGAACGGACGGCCGTTAAAAAGCGCGCGAAACTAAGGCGACGAACGAGAACCTCGTGCCCAAGTTGTTCTCTACTTTTCTTCGTGTCCGACGTGTTTGCGTATCCGCTGACTCCGTGCAACAAGGCAGCGCTACACAACGGAGTATTGATGCCAGTAGTGACGCGTGCGTCACCAAAGGCTATCGAATGAGCAATGAAATTCTGGACGATGACTCCTAAAACCAAGAAATTATATAGAAAGAATGATAAAATAAAAACTGTAAATCATATGGTTGCCTCCTTTCTTCTTATGCAAATATAATTAGTAAAAAGAGGATGAAAAATACACCATCGGTTGTTATTTTTCTCAATTCATAGCAGGCTAATGTGTAGAAAATGTTTGATATGTCAATTATTTATTAATAACAAATTTTACATTACTAGATTATATATTTGACACAGTTTATGTAGAAAGTATACAAGCAGGTTGTATTTGAATTTGGTAGGGTTATACGGCCGTATACATTTTCTACATATATACACCAGCCTGCTATGAATTGAGAAAAATAGCAGCTGATGGTGTATCTGTCGTCCTCTTTTAACTAATTATATTTGCATAAGAAGGAAGGAGGCAACTATATGATTTACAGTTTTTATTTTATCATTCCTTTTATGTAATACCTTTTTCTTAGGATGACTCCCCCGAAACGAATGTGAGAGAACCAAAGAACGTCTCATTTAATATATTATAGATATATTATTAAAATTATAAATCTTTTTATGTTATTTTTTGTATGTATAACGTTTATTATATAAAAATTCCAGCGATTCTCCTTGGCAAACACCCTGAAGTTACAGGGGAGCACTTTAGAAATGTCAGATACATATTATGTGGCGCTGCGCCGCTTGCCGCCACTGACGCTCAAGCGATACTTGATAAAAGCAATGTAAGTAAGAATTAACAGATTTTTTTAGGAAACTGGAATGTATACAAGTTTCCCTGTATATTGCCATGTGGTCCCGGCATAGAATAGGTCACCCCTTCCTATCCCGTAGGTGTCGTAAGAGGTGGCTAAGGGAGGACGAGGGATGGGCGGAAGCGCTCCTTTTAATATATCTCCAAAGCCTAACTGCGGTTGCCAATCCGCCTGCCAAGAATGAAAAGGCAGGCCAGTTAGCCCATCGTGATCAATTCACCTGGATTTCAGCACGAGGGTTTCCAGGGAGCCACATTGAGGTCGATCTGGTTGGGCATATTACTAGCAATGGGACTGGTAATCCGTATTATTAACAAGCCCTCCCCCCAGCACGATGTTTTTTTTTAATGGATGATAATGGAATGGTAACCCCGCCTGCGCTATCGGTATACACTGTCGGGGCACCAGTGAGGGATGATAGATGAGGATGAAGTAGGTCAGTTAGCCCACCGTGATGAATCTAATAATAAATCAATCACGATGGTTTCCATGGGGGAACCGCGTGGAGGTTGGTCTCCGATATTAATAGTACAGAGTCTCCCTCTGGTGTTTTTCAGAACAGACTCCAGTTCAAGCAAGGCTATGGCGCGACGGAGACGACGTCGATAGCTACCACAACATTTAAAAATGTTGACAATGTTGATTATGACGCGTGCGGGACAGCGATGGCGGGTGTCACCCTGAAGTTTGTCGATCCACAGACTGGCAACCCTGTGCCTGTCGGCGAAGTAAGTATTCTGTTAGGAAAATAAAAAAAAAGATAAAAAGAATATATTTGTCGTTGGCTTTGGTAAAGAACGAAGGCGAATTGCCATTTTTTTATGCAACTTAGAAAGACAAATATAAGCTGACGGCCCATCTGATGGAAAGTGGTAACCGTCGCCTATAGACATGAGCAGCACCATGGACATAGCAGAGTATATGTTTCGTCTATGATACCCCCCCCCCCCCCCATGCGTTGTCATTCCTGAGGGCTCGGGTTTTATTCCTCTGTACCCTGTAAATCCACTGCCATATCCCACCTTTCAAACCGAAACACAGCCATGCAAACACAACTGTTTCACGGTAAAAACACGAATTTGCATGCCTGTTTATTTTTAATGGGTGTTGATGGAATGGCACTATTGAGTGAGGATAAGTGAGGATGAAGTTAGGTCATTTATCATGAAAAATACATCAAAAATTAATCAACATGGTCGACCTAACTCATTTTCCTTGTGCTACATACATTTATCTATTTTCACGCATTCAAAAATATTCAGAAAAGATCGTTTTCTAGATAGATAGATAGATAAATAATTTATTTGCATTACTTACAGTACATAAACAACAATAGACATAAATGTACAGTGAAAAAAGATAAAAAAATACATATATAAAAAATTTAAAAAAAAAAAAAACAAAATGCATTGAACAACAATTTTTCGTACGTGTGCCACAGTAATACAAAATGGTCACAACTCAACTTATTGCTTTGAGCTAAAAAGAGCAAAACACTGGAATAACAATAGACATAAAGTACAGTGAAAAAAGATAAAAAAATACATATACAAAAAATAAAAATAAAATGCATAAGTAACAATTCTTCACACACACAGCCACCGTTATACAAAATGGTCACAATTCAGCTTATTGCTTTGCCCTAAAAAGAGCAAAACACTGGAGTCAAGTCCGAGACTTCTTTTATTTACGAAATAACTGTTTATATGTAACTTCATTTGTTTTACAAGTATTTTTTATAACTTCCACAGCCTGGTGAGATATACATAAAGGCGCCGGTGGTGATGAAACGGTATTACAAAAACGAGCAGGCGACCAGGGAGAGCATGACAGAAGACGGCTTCTTCAAAACTGGTGACTTTGGACGGTACAAGCCCGACGCGGGTCTGATCATTACTGATAGGATAAAGGAACTCATTAAAGTAAGTTACAGACAATATTAATCACTTAAACATTTATGACTAGCTTCTAAAGTACTTTTTAGACTAGCTTCTAGTTGTCGTGTGTGTCCTGGTATACGCTTGAAGGGTATGGTAGTCGTAGTGTGTGTGTGGTGGGAAGGAGAAGGGATATTGTTAGAAATGCGAACATTGCTAACAATATATCCTGTCAGGTCGACTTTGACTTGGTCCCTCCTGGAACCATCTTGCTAAATTACAGCTGCATTTATCACGATGGGATCACTGACCTGCCATCTGCCTCGCTAGTGTATACCGTTAGCGCAGGCAGGGTTATAATTCCATTATCATTAATTAAATACAGAGTATCACAGTGTTTTCTGTGATGTCCATACTGCTGTTCATGTCTATAGCGACGGTTACCATTTACCATCAGGGGAACGGTTAGGGGCGGAAGAGTAAGACTTTGATACTTAATGTAGGTGGGCCAAATATGATACGTTTTATGCTTGGTCTTTTGTGACCAAAAAAGTCGGTTTTAAAAATGGATTAGAAATATTCTGAAAAAAAAAAAAACAAATTTGCGAGGTGCGTAGACACTCAGACTGCGAGGCCATTCATTGGTGGCGGAGATCCACATTGCCGCTTCTGACTTTGCGACATTATCTTGTTTACCATTTTGAGTAGGTATCGTAAAAAATATCTCACGTTGATGTAAACAGTAGATGTTTACAAAATTTCATTAAAATCTGCTGAATTGTTTCCGAGATAAGCGTGAACAAACATCGTTTTATATTCGTTATAAGCTAAGATTGTATGAACTTGTTAAAACTTAGGGGGAGCAGTGACTTTAGTAACAAGGATTAGCAAACCTATTGCTAGTAATATATTCTATCAGGTCGACCTCTACGGGGTTCCCCCTGGAAACTATCATGTTTGATTCATTATTGATTTCGTCACGATGGATCAATTGATCTGCTTCATCTCCACCTATTATCCTTCACTGATGCTTCGCCAGTGTATACTGATAGCGCAGGCGGGGTTACTATTCCATTATTTTCCATGTTCTGTTGAGAGTTAACAAAACAGCGGGTCTACCATGAAATGAAATTCCGAAATTTCGGACTCAATTTCGTATTTTTGTTTATACCAATTTTTGTTTATAAAATCGGATCAATAAATAGAGTTTAACATTTCGTTCGTCATACATCCTATCATAAAAGTCCAAAGGAACAATATTTTAACATTTTTAATATTTCCAAATGGGATGTATTATGTAATTTTAACATCAAATTTGTGTTTCGTTTGGCTTCGAAATTTCGAAAAACATTCCCCCAGGCTCCTCTTCCACTGGCATTGACTCTGCTCAACGGTGTCATGAGCCAGTATCCGGACTTGGATATATTGACTTGTAAACTTGTCGAGTTTCGCAACATAATAATACATTATTTAAAAAATGTCCAATAAATAAATGTTATTATGTTTATATATATTGTGATTGCTAAGGGAGCGAATTGGGAAACTGTCAAGCTCCCTTAGTTGGTAAATATAAATAAATTAATAATTTATCGACCATTAAAAAAACTTAGTTAAAACTAAATATAACAACGCCTGGTTGAATAAATTTGATAATTTTACGCTAAGAAATTTGCCTTTTGACTTTAAAAGGAGATTCCCAATTTGACTATGGTGTGTGTTAAATAATGTTCGCATATCTTGGTGTCAGTTTTAATGCTATAATCATGGGTTTTTTTTATTGGATGTAAATGGTATGGTAGCCCCGCCTGCGCTAACGGGATACGTTGGCGGAGCACCAGTGAAGGGCGATAGATGAGAATGAAAACAGGCCAGTTAGCCCATCATGATCAGGAATTAACCATGATAGTGTCGACCTGGATGAGTATATTGCTAACAATGGGATTCTCAGTCTCCATTAATAACAATCCCTTTCCCCCCAAGTAGATGGAGTTGTAATTCCATTTTTATTTCAAAAAATATTTCCTATCAGGGTAGGAGATTGTCGTGTGGTCCTGGTATAGAATAGGCCACCCCTTCTTTTTCCGTAGGTGTCGTAAAAGCCGACTAAGAGAGGGCGAGGAATGGCAGCAGCGTTTCTCTTAAAACATCTCTAAAGCCTGACTGCGGTTGCCAATCCACCTGCCAAGTGGGGCAATATTTATAAATGTATTATGTAATTTATTAGGACAATAAAATTTACCAGAGGGAGACTTTGTACAAAAGTCGATTGCTTGGGTACCTCTGACCCATTCGTGTTTCAACCGTGAAGCAGTTGTGTTTGCATGGCTGTGTTTCGGTTTGAAGGGTGGAATATGGTGTGAATTTACTAGGTACAGAGGAATAACACCTGAGTCCTCAGGAATGGCAACGCATGGGGAGTATCATGAGGGAAACAGTATACTCTGTTATGTCCATGGTACTGCTCACGTCTATAGGCGACGGTTACCACTTTCCATCAGGTAAGCCGTCAGCTTGTTTGCCATTCTAAGTTGTCAAAAAAAAGTACAATAAAGAATATTGAATAATTATTAATACATTTTATTTGTCTCTGATCAGGTAAAAGGTTTACAAGTCGCTCCAGCTGAACTGGAGAGTCTTCTGCGTTCCCACCCTGCCGTGGCTGACGCGGCGGTTATCGGCGTACCGCACGACTTCTATGGGGAAGTGCCAAAGGCCTTGGTGATACCACGGCGGGACACCAAGGTGACAACAGAGGAACTGCAAAATTTCGTCGCCAGCAAAGTGGCGCCTTTCAAGCGGATTGAAGAAGTGGTATTTGTCGATAACATCCCTAAAACCAGTTCAGGAAAGATATTGAGGAAGGACTTAAAGAAGATATATTCGTAGAGTTGTTTTGTGGAGAAACTAATAATAGATTGATAAATCCATTACTAGCTTTCACCCGCAGTTTTATTCGCGTAATTGGGATATGTTGAACGGGATGAAAAGTAGCCTCTGTCCTTTACCATCCCTATTATATATGACGTTTCATATTGGAATTAGAAAATCTGAACACTTATTGAATTAAGTTTTTATCTTAGATTATATAGGTAGAGCATTGAGTGTCAATAAAGGAACAAAATTTGATTAGCTAATTTGACGTTTGGCTTATTTTTTTTTAAAACCAAAATAAAACGTGTTTTTTTTTCGTGTTGCACGTAATCGGAGTAAAAATTTTCCAGATTAGAATGTTTTTTTTTTACATTGATACTGGGAACTATGTTTTTCTGATACAATATATACTTATGGTATGTATTACTTATAAATATACATATTTTAACTTAAAATTACAATATAATTCCTCCTATATATTGAGTAATAGATATGCATTATGGTAACCCTATTTATTCATACACACAAATAAAAAAAATTACCAGTTCTTGGTGAAACATTTGTATGGAGGCACTCTATCTATATAATCTAAGGTTTTGTCTGTTACACGCATTTTTCGTAGACAGAATTTTTTTGTGTTTTTTTTTTTTTTAAATGATGAATTAATGACTAATTGTGTGTTTAGGATTTAGAATGAATATCTTTTATTAGAGTAGTACAATGAATGTTGGAGGCTACAACCCAGAACATTAAATCCCAAGTTGACTAGGAAAAAATAAATTATCTATATTTATTGAATTTGACCCAGAATCGAACCTTTTGTATGAAGTTTCACATTTGAAAAATATCAAATGACACGTTACTTACGGGCTATCTCCAAAAATTAGGTTAAGAGAAGAATTTGTCATAAAAATCAGTCTTAATTGACACTAGAATGAATTTAAAGAGAAATTGTGAAAATTGACTTACGGTGAACTAGTTGTAACTCGCGGCTTTGCTCGCGTCGACTAGGATAAAAGATTAGCCAATGTGTTCGTTTAAATTTCATTTATTTTTATATATTTATATAATTAGTAAGATAGTAAGATGTGTGATATAAATAAATACATATAACGAAGTAACGAAATACGGACGAATTTTTTTTTAATAAAAATCGGCAAGTGTTCACTAAAGTAAATGGTTTAATAAATTTAGAATATTTGTAAAGGGTTATTTTATGTAATTATGTGTTTTTTTTTTATATAATTGGAATAAATATGACAAGAAAAATATGTGTTTTTGTTTGTATATTATCAAATATCATCATGTAGTTCAAGAATAAATATAGACTTAAAATTAATAGCAAGAAAACTAAAATAATGACAACAGCTAAAGCTAAACCTCAACAAAACAATCCTATAAAAATTAACAATACTCAATTAGAACAGGCAAATACATTTAAATATTTGGGCAGTTTAATCACAAGTGATTCCAGATGTACTCCGGATGTAGTCGCGAGAATAGCTATGGCTAAACAAGTCTTCAATAACAAAAACGCCCTTTACAGGCTAATAAAACAAAAGATATTAGAAAGCAGCTTATCAAGACCTATCTGGATCAAGATATATCTGGAGTACCAGAGGGAGACTTTGTACAAAAGTCGATTGCTTGGGTACCTCTGTCCCTTCGTGTTTCATACGTGAAGCAGTTGTGTTTGCATAGCTGTGTTTCGGTTTGAAGGGTGGGATATGGCGTGAATTTACTGGGTACAGAGGAATAACACCTGATTCCTCAGGAATGGCAACGCATGGGGGGTATCATGGACGAAACAGTATACTCTGTTATGTCCATGGTACTGCTCATGTCTATAGGCGATGGTTACCACTTTCCATCAGGTGGGCCGTAAGCTTGTTTGCCATTCTAAGTTGTATAAAAAAAAATCTTCACTTGTTATCACTCACTGGTGCCCCGACAATATGTACTGTTTACGCAGGTGGGGTTGGGACCAAATACAAAATATATTTATTTATATACCCAAACCTGTATTCCGCTAGCGCAGGCAGGGTTACCATTTCATTTTCACCATAAAGCAAGATATACACGTTGACTTTTTTAATGGATCATAATGGAATGGTAACTCCACCCGCGTTAAGGGTATAAGCTGGTAAGATACCATTGAGATGATAGATACGTTAGGATGGAAGGGGTTCATCGAGACGAATTCCACAATAATTATCTACGATAGTTTCCAGGGGGGACCGCGTGGAGGTTAACCTGACAGGGTAGATTAGACTCCATTGCTAATAATTCCTTTTTACCTGACTTTACTAGGTTCCATCTTACGGAGTTACATTCAAAAGCCTTCAGTTGTTTTTGCGTGAAAGAGTAACTAACATTCTCAGAGACTATATACAGAGTAGTTGTTCAATTTTATTTCTTCCAGCTTTTTAGATGGGCTATTAATAATATAAACTGCTGGCACGCTCAATAGTTAGCTTATAAAAGGAGGTTATTGCGTTATATTACTATGTTGGCTAGACTTCTTGGCATAAGGCTTTGTTTCGAGTTTTTCTTTTCTTTATATCCGTTTTATGAAGATACGACCAACGTACGTGACTAGTTCTCACCTAATCATATCTCACTCTAGCTGTTAGTAATGCGGACTACCTGTGTCGTTACTAGCAACATACTCTGTCAGGTCGATCTCCACGTGGTACCCTTTGAAAACCATCGTGTTGAATTCCAACATTTTTTGTTAAATTTGTCACCGATGGGCTAACTGACCTGCTTCATCCTCACCTGTCATTCTTCACTGGTGCCCCGCCAGTGTATACCGATAGCGCAAGTGGGGTTACCATTCCATTATCACCCATTAAAAAAAAACTCGAAATTACTATATTTGATGTGTCCATGCTAGTAGTTTTTTTGTATTGACGCACACTTGTATTTATTTGCTGTAATAATAAATAAAGAGTACACTTTGCAAGTATTTTATAGGTGAAAAAAAAGGAGAAAAAAAAAACTATTAAAACTTTATTTTTCTTCGCAGTGGATTTTTTGCTAAATGATGATGTTCGTCTAATAATGTAGCCACATCCGAACAACATTCATTTTGCATATTAAATTTGACTGTCAAGACGGCAGATAATGTTTTTACAAAAAGTTGCGACTTCTCACTGCTCCAGTAATCATTCCCTAGTGAAAATACCCTTTCAACAGCAGCATTAGTGCCTGAACAAAATAAGAAAGTTTCTATTAAATTTTTTAATTTTTCATGTGGGATATATTCTACTGAAATTCTCATGAAATCCAAATCAGTGTCAAAATAATTTTAAATATTTAATTAATAAAATTGAATTAAATTAATAATATAAAAAAAGGTTTTAGAAATACAAATGAGTATAAAATTATACAAATGAGTACTTCAGAGTACAGGATTTGAAAAGAGTACGGTTTGCGAAAAAAGAGTACAAAACTCAGTAAATGAGTATAGTTGGTCACCTTAATACAGCATAAGTATAATAGAATGTGTTTTGAGTAAAGTTAATGTATATAATAGATTAATATTTCTAAAAATATAGATTTTTCTTATGTATCTATATCTATATGTATATATATGTCAGAATTATTTGTATTAATATGCCGTTAGCATTCTACGACTATGACGATATATATATATATATATATATATATATATATATATATATATATATATATATATATATATATATATATATATATATATATATATATATATATATATATATATATTTATCAATGTTCAGAAGAACCCAATATATAGATATCGGATATTACTCATCTCTTATATATATATATATATTATTTATTGTACTAAGTATCTCCCATATACAGACATTGTTTAGTTACAATTTTTTTATATTATATAAAATAACGATTTCTTTAAAGTTATTGGGCGTTGGTTAATTGAATTTAGACCTCAAACGATATTTATCTATATATTGGTATACACAAAACGTACTGGAAGTGGGTTAATAAATGAACATAAACAACAATGTGTTTGACCATGAATGATCGTGCAGTATGCAATAGCAATTTGTTTATTTTTAACTTCCAATGGAAGCAATTTTAGTCGGTCGCCGGTCTCCGGCGGCGTATAACGTGTGTACAGTATATCGCGAAACTGCAATAATAATTAATGGCAAATAATGTATTAGCCAAACCTCTATAACTAAGAGGAAGGAAAATGTTATGCATTACCAGAAGAGTTAAAACCGATAAATAACCACAAAAGAAATTACAAAAATGAGTAATTAATGCAAACTTTTGTTTTTATTATTTTTAACAGTTTTTTTTTATTCAATTTTGATATTTTACATCACAGTTAACAAAGTGCTGACTGCAATTAAGATATCTGTAAGTATTCTCAGTGTTTAAATCCAATTTGTTTGTTAAATTTCTGTTGTAACAAGTTTGTTATTGTAAAATACTTTGTAACTTTTTGTTGTAGTGTCATGACTAAGGTATACTTTCGAGGATATTGCATAAGGAACGTGATTATTTTGTGTTTACGAATCTACTAATTATATTATATTCTTTTAATTAATTGTTTGTACTCGGTTTTATTTTAATGTTATTAAATATTTATAAAAAATATTATAATTTAGTAGGTTCTATTATTGTCAACAACTATAAATAACTTTGGCACTTATTAAGTATTCTTCTATAAAAACAAAGTCCATTCGGTCGCAAATATATATATTTTTTTAATTGTAAAAAGTTTAAAACTAAGATGGAAGATAGCGTCGCGTAAACACGATCAGTGTTATAGACAGAATTTACTGCAACGCCGATAGCACCCCACATGAGTTGCCATTTTTGAAGACTAAGGTAGTCAGTTATTATATGACTTTATTACATTACTATGCAAATGATTTAGACACTTTTGAAAATAACATTAAGGATACATTAAATCAAGTAAAAATATGGTTGCCAAAAAATAATTTAAAAATTAATTTACTCAAAACAAAAACATTTATTTTAAGACTTGTTTGAGTCCCGTCCTTGACCTTAATATAACATACGAGAATAATAACGTAGAAGTAGATTCTACTATTTTTATTAGACATCACATTAGATAAGAAAATTTTAAAAAAAGGAGCACTTTGTTGTGTTGCCACTTTTCGTCAGGTGGGCCGTCAGTTTGTTTTCCATTTTAAGTTGCATAAAAAAAAAAGATTGTAAATTAAATAAATAAGTTTGTATTTGCACTTTATAAATTGCACCAGATAGCAACTTTACAAACTTCTCTTAGTGTATATCAGGGATTTGTTTCATCGACACTTCGTTTTTGTTTGATTATTGGTGGGAGTTCGTCTGACATAACAGTTCTCAAAACACAATATATATATATATATATATATATATATATATATATATATATATATATATATATATATATATATATATATATATATATATATATATATATATATATAAAGAGCTATTAGCAATGTGCGGTGTCGGGAATCTTGTAGGCCATTATTTAAAAAAAATAGGTATCCTTCTCCTGCTATGTATGTATATATTTGCTATCTATACCTCTGTAAAGCAATACCCAAAAATATTTAATACCAAAAAATTTTATTTTGATTACCATTTGATACCAAAAACAATTTAAAAAAAATAATGCTTTATTTACAGCCGAAAAAATATATAATAAACTTCCCTCGGATCTTTTAGAGCTGCCATTAAAAATATTTAAAATACGGCTACATCTATGACTTCTAGATAGGTTCTTCTAGAGTATCGGTGAATATTATGCCTTTATGTCTTAAAATTAATTGACATAATTATTAATTGTACATTTTATAATATTCATTGTCATAGTTATGTTAATAACATAATTAATCAGCTGTGTTTACAATATTGTGTATTAAATACGAGTATCTTTTGTATAGTGTAAAATATAAATAATCTGTAACATCTTGAATTTGATATGGATTTGTAATTTGTTATTGCCATGACTTACAATAATTAATCTTAATAAAATTAATCAAAAATGTTAATCGTATTTGATTGTATATTTTTTACAACTAACTAACTAAAAAAACTAATTTCTATATTCGAATGATTTTACTAATTAGTAACTAATTAAAATAAAGTACTTTCCTTGTTCTGCTACTACCAAGTCCCTCCACTACTACTATGACTATGTCGTTAAAACTTGTGACAAAAAAAAATAATTATAATAGAATAATCCGAGTGATTTGCTCAGTCGAATAATTAGTAGCCACTTTTGTATTCAATCTATACGTACACTCATGTCTGTAAAGTTTCTTATATTACAAAATTAATCACTCGGTATCATCTTTCACTTGTACCAACTAAAACTCTCAGCACCTTCATTGCTTTAAATGTCTATTTAGCGCAAATAAAAAAAAAATACTAGATATATGTTCCATTTTTAAACTGAATCTATTAACCGTGCAAACAACATTTGGCGGGAAATAATTAATAGGTTAATATTTAATTTATTGCGCATTTCAATTCATGCAGACGATTTATGCATTATCAACATATCAGCTTTTTACTGTCCATTGGTGAATATAAGCCTCCTTGGGGGTTTTGCCAGTAATTGCCACGCCTGGCAGGCGGGTTGGCAACTGCAGTCAGGTTTTAGAGATGTTTTAAGCGGGACGTTGTTGCCCATCCCTCGCCCTCCTTTAGTCGCGTCTTACGACACCCACGGGATAGGTAGTGGTGGCCTTTTCTATGCCAGGACCACACATAATATTATATTTATTTATAAATTATGGTAATTATAATATGAATGAAAAACTTTCTTAGTGTGAAGTTGATATTTACTTTCAATTGACTTCAAAAAGTATACATACAGTTTGATCCTATAGAAAGTTTATCAAAATCAGTAACGTATTTAGTTGTTTTTAAATGAAATTAACTTGTTGATCATAATTATATAGGTACTATATATATATATATATATAAAGTATATATAAATATAGTATAGTATATACCATAGTATATATAAAGATTATCAGTTTTATTGTAGATATTTCTAGTTTTATTATTATGGCAAGTAATTAACTTATCTATTATATCATATTGTATTATATATGGTTTACATTATGTCTAGACGGTACCTATAGAGCTATCCGCGGAATTATTTAACAAAATACCGGAGTTTATTCTTGAGCACTGTTATCTATCTCTAAAATTAAAATAATTTAATATCACAGTGAAATTATTATTCTAAGAACCAATTTTGTTTTAATGAGTGATTATTGAATGGTAACCCCGCCTGCGCTATTGGTATACGCTGGCGGGGCACCAGTGAAGGATGATAGGTGAGGATGAAAAGGCAGGTCAGCTAGCTCATCATGATGAACACACCTGGAATTTAGCACGATGGTTTCCAGGGGGACCACGGGGAGGTCGACCTGCCAGGGTATATTGCTAGCAATGAGATTAGTACGCATTACCAATATATTATAAACTATACACATGATTCTCATAGTCTGTACCATGATTTGATAAACTCAAATTTAAATTATAATTATATAGATAAGTTTAGAAAATGGTTAACTAGAATCGACCCTATTATGAATAATAAAAAAAAAAAAACAATTAATATAATCCATAATGAAAATTTGCTATATGGTTTCACCATAGAAAAGGCTATTCCTTTCTTTCCTATGGGTGTCGTAACAGGCGGCTAAGGAAATTTAGTTGTCAAGCGATGGGCAGCAGCGCCCCTCATAAAACATCTCTAAAGCTTGCGGTTGCCAATCCGCCTGCCAAGCGTGGCAACTACTGGCAAACCCACCTAGGGAGAGCCTTATGTTTAACGGTGGACAGGTAAAAGTTGATATGACGATGACGATGATTTATGTAGTCATTGCATTACATCCGTAAGATTTTCCGTCTCTCGTAGGGGTGTGTACTGCTTTGTTACCTTAGTCACCTCTTACGACATCCTGGGAATGAAGACGTGTGATGACACATCGTATTTTTACACACACTCACACATCACAACGTGATTCAATCGTAGCATAACACTCATTCTGGAAAACAGTGGGTTTTTTTTTAATCGGTGATAATGGAATGGTAACCCCACCCGCGCTATCGGTATACACCGGCGGGGCACCAGTGAAGGATGATAGGTGAGGATGAAGCAGATTAGTTAGCCCATCGTGACGAATTCAACAAGAATTGTTCACGATGGTTTCCAGGGGGAACCACGTGGAGGTCAACCTAATAGGGCATATTGGTAGCAATGGGGCTGTCAATCTCCATTGCTAACAATCCCTTTCTCCTCAGGCAGGAAAACAGTGGGTTATCCCGTTTGGAAATTTATTGAAAAAACAAATATTTATTTATTTGATTAACTGTGTGAGCTTTACAGTCTCCCAATGAGGGGGAGGGGATTGTTAGTAATCCGGACAACAAGTCCCATTGCAGTGTATATTGCTAGCAATGTGACTGGTAGTCAAACGTTATATAAATGTCAATTACGCACGCTTTATTCGTGTTTTTGCTGTCAGGCAACCATGCTTGCATACTTTTATAATTTTCAGTTTGAAAAGTGGGATTTGACAGGAAAAGTACATTGCGCGGAATCATAAACCCTTAATCCGGGGGAGGGGGATTGTTAGTAATACGGATTACTAGTCCCATTGCTAGCAATATACCCTATCAGGATGACCTGCACGCGGTCCCCTTCTTCTGACTTCTTTCTTATATAATATCTTTAGATTCTGTGCTTATATAATATTCTATTAGTTTTGCAAGAGATAACATTATTTATATTATCGTAGTTTCTAGTCAACTATTTTTGTTACCAGTATCAAATATTATATAAATATAGCTCCTTATCATTAATTTTCGTATAAAGTTTGAGACTTTTAATCTACATAGTTGTTGTCTGTGAGTTGCTATTTGGTTTAGGTGTTAAAATTACAAATATTATGATTTATTTTTTAAAGTATATAAAGTGAGAGATGAATGTGTAAATAGAGGCTTTTTGTGCTCGGTTTTCAATGTAAACATGCAAGAGAATTGTTATAAAGACAAATAAGTATTATATATATATATATATATATATATATATATATATATATATATATATATATATATATATATATATATATATATATATATATATATATATATATATATATATATATATATATATATATATATATATATATATATATATATATATATATATATATATATATTTAGAACCGGATCTTACATTTACCACTATTTACATTTATTATAATGCGAAAATGTTTTTATTATTTTATATTTCTTTATCATAAGTTCAGTGACAGTTAGTCTTGATTATCAGATTTTGCGCTCGACATCGCTGATTACACGGCCATTTTTTTTATCAGTAAAATTAATAAAAATACAATTGATATCATTATTATTGATATTATTATTGATTTATTGCGTGTATGAAAAGATTGATGAATTTGAAAGAAGCGAAAGAGGTTTGTTTGAATCGAAGCATTTGGCGTTCCATTGTTTCTGCCTACCCTAATGGGAGACAGGCGTGACAGATATGTATGTATGTACAGTTGATATCAAAAAGTGGCTCAGAAGTGTCTGAAGTCAGATTTATTATTCTATCAGCCTTTAACAACACCTATTCTCGTGTATGAGGGGGCGATGTATTAAATCATATTATACGGAACCTAAAGATCCAGCCCACCACGCCATCACCAGTGTGGATACCATAGTCAGCACGACTTGTTTCCAAGGGCGAGGGATGGGCAGCAGCGTCCTTCTTAAATCATCACCAAATCCGAATTGCGATTGCCAACTCGCCTGATAGGCGTAATATTCATGTTTGGAACATTTAAAACTATGGTTAACTTGGTATTTGAGACTGGGAATCGATCTTGGGACCCCGGACCGCAGTGAAGCATCGTATAAGACACTGCTATGAAAGTACAAGACAACATAGTGGCTACATACGTGACAAAATTTAATAAACTACTGGCAAAACTTCTATTATGGGAAAGGATTATATCCGGCAGTGGACAGTCAATAGCAGATATGAAGATCATGATGATATTTATTACAATAACGAATAGAAATGTAGGATCGTACTGTTATACAGTTATTAGGACTGCTTAAAAAAAAAGTAATTTGTAGTAGAAAGTATTTAATAATGAAATTGTTGCGAACTCCTTACTTATTTTTTAAGGTTTATATTTTTATTGTATTTTTACATTTTTGTTTTTACAATTGTCACTTTTGCTCTTTGCTGTCGTAGTCTATCTTTCGTATTTTCTTTATTATAGTTATTTTCCTTTTAAACCCATTGTTTGATTACATCATAAACATCAATATACAGTCCATAATATCGCCCACAGAAATAATATAAAAGATTATTTGAAGCGACCATCCAAGATGGAGTCTGAACCCGAACTGCCTTTGCGCTCCAACCGAGTCACCCAACTGCAACTAAGTATTGCAGCGCTCAGCATTTTTGGTTACATTTTAGGGATGTAACAGTACGTTTAAATGTTTAGCTAGTTGCCACAATTGCTGATCATGTGGATGATGATTAGGCAGAGTTGCGTGAATGATAGTTTATCTCGGTTTTTTTTTTATTAGATACCTATCTTTTTCTGTTCTCTAACAAATCAAATTGTAAAGATAAGACGCATACCAAAGTTCATTTGTGACAATCCGTGTCGTGGAAATTTTAGTAAAATTTGTCACGTATGTAGCCACTTCGTCTACTCGTACTTCCATAATAGTGTGTTTAACGATGTTTCCCTTTGGTTTTGGATCCCAAGATCGAATCCCAGTCTTAAACTTCAAGTCAACTTTAATTTTAAACGTTCTAAACATTAATATTACGAGGGGGAAGGCATTCTAAGTAATGCGGACTACCAGTCCTATTGCTAGCAATATACCCTGTCAGATCGATCTCCACGTGGTCCCCCCTGGAAATTATTGTGCTGAATTCCAGGTGTATTCATCGCGATAGGCTAACTGACCTGCCTTTTCATTCTTATCTATCATCCCTCACTGATGCCTTGTCGGTGTATACCGTTAGCGCAGGCGGGGTTTACCGATTTTTACGGTAAAACCGCCTTCAATTGTGGCAAGACCAATTATTTTAATTTAAAAACTAAACTACTTAAACGATTTCACTAAAATTTCTATAAAACGAAACTGTAAGTAAAATCCTTTCAGATAAAAAAAAAAAAAGATTTTTCAGATCGGTGTTCAATACAGAACATAAAAATTTAATATTAAAATGAATTGTTTATATTTTTTGTTCTGGCAATGTTGATTTTTCTTTTTTTATCAAAATATTTTTGTAAGTAGCAATTACTGCATTTTTTGTCTATTAACATGTCTACACACAGAAATGTCGTGTCCTGTAATTGTTGGTTCAATATTTTTTTTTATACAACTTAGAATGGCAAACAAGCTGACGGCCCACCTGATGGAAAGTGGTAACCGTCGCCTATAGACATGAGCAGTACCATGGACATAACAGAGTATACTGTTTCGCCCATGATGCCCCCCATGCGTTGCTATTCCTGAGGACTCGGGTGTTATTCTTCTGTACCCAGTAAATTCACGCCAATAATATCCCACCCTTCAAACCGAAACACAGCCATGCAAACACAACTGCTTTACGGTTGCAACACGAATAGGACAGAGGTACCCAAGCAATCGACTTTTGTACAAAGTCACCCTCTGGTAAAATTATTATTTTTTTTTTTATTTATTAAAGGTACATACAACAGGTTACAATCAATAACATTATAAACATTTATATAAAGATAATAGTATGAACTAGTTTGAGACCCAGACAGGTGTACACACAGCATGGTTAAAGCAGTCGGCAAACAATGTTAAATTATAAAGTTATATAAAGAAAGCATATGAATTTGGTAAATAACAGTGAAGTACATGCAAATAATAAAAATACATAAAGATATGGACATGTCAAAGAGACTTGATGGCTGATTGTACAATGCTTTTGAAGGTGTTTAGACGTGAGTTGAAGATATCAATTTGAGGACTTATCAATTTTATTACTATATAAAAATAAAATTAATCCTTTTCTATAACAATCGGTTTACAAAAAAAAAAAAAAAACATTATTATTATTTAGAATAGTAGAATTATAATGGAAAACAACATTTTGTCTGTGTATGTGCTGATTATCAATATGGATAGGTATTGTTAAAATAAATATAGAAATCAATAAGATAACAGTCATGTTTATTAATGACAATAATGAGATTTTATGACCTGTAATTGTCATAAATAAAATCGTCAGACTAGGCGTACGTGATCCGACTAGAGTATTCCATAAAAATAACTTATATATTTATATTTTATTGTGCACAAAAGTTACATTTCTTTTTATGGGTAAAAATGGTATGGTAGCCCCGCCTGTGCTAACGGGATACGTTGGCGGAGCACCAGTGAAGGGTGATAGATGAGAATGAAAACAGGCCAGTCAGCCCATCATGATGAATTCATAAGGAATTAACCATGATAGTTTCCAGGGGGAACCGCGAGGAGGTCGACCTGGTTGGGTATATTGCTAGCAATGGGATTCTCAATCTCCATCACTAACAATCCTTTGCCCCCAACAAAAATTACATTGTTATATTTGATATTAAATTAAGATATACAACAGGCGAGCTCAACTCTGTAAGACTTCTCTTCCAGCAAACCCTGAGTGCAAAGGAGCATTAATTACCAGCGGGCAATAATTATGCAATTCAGAATGGCAAATAAGCTGACGGCCCATTTGATGGAAAGTGGTAACTCTGTTATGTCCATGGTACTGCTCATGTCTATAGGCGACGGTTACCACTTTCCATCAGGTGGGCCGTCAGCTTGTTTGCCATTCTAAGTTGTGTAAAAAAAAAAAACAAAGCCATATACCTAATAGCAATATATGTAATATTGCTCTTGTAATTTCATATTATAATAACATCCAATCGAATAATGTAGTTTCATTAATGTCTGTTTTATAAAAAAAGAAAAATGGTACTATTTTTTTTTTAATTTTTTAAATATTTAAATAAGGAAGGAGTTTAAGGGAAAGTTTATTTTTAAGAAGTTTTTCTTTTTAAGTTTATATAAATGTCAACTACACATCTCTCACACTCGTGTTTCTCCTGCCAGGCAACTATGTTTGCATATTATTTTTCAATTCGAAGAGTGAAATATGGAAGGACAAGTATATTGCGCGGAGGGGTAAACCCTTAATTCGGGGGAGGGGGATTGTTAGTAATGCGGACTACTAGTTTCACTGCTAGCAACATACTCTGTCAGGTCGAACTCCACGTGGTCTGTCCTGGAAATCATTATGCTGAATTTCAGATGTATTAACTCCGATGGGCTAATCTGCCATTTTTTTCTTCTATCAACCCTCATTGGTGCCCCGCCAGTGTATACTATTAGCACAGGCGGCTACTATTAGCATGTAATAAAAAAATCTTAAACCTCAGGAATAGCAATGCATGTGGGTTATCATAGGTATCAAGGTGTGTCACTGTGTAGGTGTCACAGTATCAGACGATCTTGGCGTGTTCACAATTGTACTAGATAACAGGAGTGAGATATGGCCGATACTGCATAATTAAATTACTTATCGCAATTAAAGATAAATAATGTGAAAATAACCTATTCTATTACCAACTGCAGATCGAGGATGACGTCGAGATGTGTGGTGTCTTTGAATGTGGTCTTTAGGACGTTATGTCAGAGTACAAAATACACTAACAGCTCCGTGAGAAGAAAAAGTCTGTGGACACAGGACCGGGTGCTCACGTCGCCCCACAAAAATATAAATATTCCAAATTGTACCCTGAACGAGTTCGTGTGGGAGAATCTGGACAAATGGCCGGAGAGGACTGTTGCTGTGAGTATATTTTTTTTATTATAGATTTTCTTTTATTCTTTTAATTTTGAATAAAAGAAAAACATATAAAAAACAAAATGAATGTAGCAGTGTCTGTGCAAAGGACCTAACTCAGTATATGTCGCAGTTTCAAATCTGAAGCTACGACACTGATTTTCAGTAAGCCCTAAATACGTAACTCTAATTTTCCAATTACCCTGCTGTTTTTTGTTGCTATTTCTTGAACGTATACATACTAAACAATAAGTACCGCGCTTTTAGTCCCCAAGATATTAATAATATTAATAATAAAAACATAATAATAAACAAACTACAGTTATGTTTATACGAATAAATCACATTTCATTTTATATCAAGTTACATTATGAAAAGTCTACATTACCACAAGTCCTTAAACTAAATCAGACCTATATCTTGGGGACTTATTTTTTAAGGGATGATAATGGAATGGTAACCCCACCTGCGCTATCGGTATACACCGGCGGGGTACCAGTGAAGGATGATAGGTAAGGATGAAGCAGGTCAGTTAGCCCATCGTGACGAATTCAACAAGAATTGTTCACGATAGTTTCCAGGGGGAACATGTGGAGGTCGACCTAATAGGGCATATTGCTAGCAATGGGGCTGTCAAACTCCATTGCTAACAATCCCTTTCCCCCCTATTTCAGCCGTTAACTATCCACTACTGGACATAAGCCTTCCCCATAAGGGGAGTTTTGCTAGTAGTTGTCATGCTTGGCAAGCGGGTTGGCGGGTTTATGGATAAATAAACTTGTACAATTGTAGGTGTGTGCAATAACAGGCAGAGGCTACACATACGAGCAAGCTTTTTACTTATCCAATGCGTTCGCCGCCAACCTTCGGACTAAGTTCAAGATCGTCGATGGAGACGTTGTTTCGGTCATGTTGCCCAATATCCCCGACTATCCGCTGGTAGCCATGGGCATTTTAGAAGCCGGAGCCGTGATTTCGTCTATAAACCCTATTTACACTGCTCGTAAGTCTATTTTCGCTTTTTTTCCATTGTATGTAAACATATTATTATGTCACAGTGACATTATATATGTAAATTTATTATCCGAACTTTGCATAGTGACTTGGTGTAAACAAGTACTTATGTACTTGACATATTAAATTTTATTTAAACTTCAATTTATGAGTACGAAAACAAAAACATAACATAGTGTGGAAAAAAATGAAGTTTAAGTAAGGCTTGATTAAATAAATAAAATTGTTAAATAAACATAAACGTTTTTAACTAGATATGTTGTAAAATAAATGGGTTAGTTGTATAAAATTATAATAATATTATTATAATATTGAATATTTTCGCCTAATTTTGTTATGTATTTTATGTGTAGAGTTGTTTGAAAATTCTCAATGCAATTGTATGGAACAATAGACAATGTGTGAGTGTTATTTACAACTAGTGGCCCGTCCCGGCGTCGCACGGGTGGACATTTTTACATTTAAAAAAATGGCCATTAAGGTTGCACACGCGACGGAAGCTTAAAAATGGAGTAACCTCTCCCGTTTTCCCAACAATTCCCTTCACTGCTCTGTTACTATTGATCGTAGCGTGATGAAAAGTATACTATAACCTACCCAGGAGTATGAAGAATAATTGTACCAAGTTTCGTTAAAATCCGTCGAGTAGTTTTTATGTTATAACGAACATACAGACAGACAAAAAATTTACTGATTGCAGTTTTGGCATCAGTATGGATCACTAATCACCCGCTGATAGTTATTTTGAAAATATATTTCATGTACAGAATTGACCTCTCTATAGATTTATTATAAGTATAGATATAGATCTGAAAAAGTTCACCAAAAAAAATATATATACATATATATATATGGCGAACAAAGGAGACCAAAGCAGTCATAGTCATATAGTCATGACTGCTTTGGTCTCCTTAAGTCATAAGTGGTCATAAGTGGGGGGGGGTAAAGAGGTTGTTAGTAATGGGATCTGAAAGCCCAATTGCTAACAATATACCATATCAGATCGACCTCCACGCGAATTAAGGATGTTTGAACACTATTCTTTGTGGCTATATTTTAAGGGCCTTTGAATTGGATAGCATCGACTCTCACAAATACCTAAAATTATTTCTGCGTACTTCATTATCACTAGATAGCGCAACAGTCATTCATGTATGTGCGTGTGTTGTGTTTACGATTATGTGAATAATGTTGCCATTGTATTGAATTAAACAAGTTCAAAAATATTGCTAGTTTTATCTCAACAAATGTAGGAAGTATTTGAAGAGATAAGAGCAATTAAGAATAACATCAATGAATATACTAGTTTATATTTTCTTTTTGACGGGTGAAAATGGTATGGTAACCCCGCCTGCGCTAATGGGATACGCTGGCGGAGCACCAGTGAAGGGTGATAGACGAGAATGAAAACAGGCCAGTTAGCCCATCATGATGAATTCATCAGGAATTAACCATGATAGTTTCCAGGGGGAACCGCGAGGATGTCGACCTGGTTGGGTATATTGCTAGCAATGGGATTCTCAGTTTCCATTACTAACAATCCCTTTCCCCCCTCCAGATGTTAAGTTACTATCATCATCATCAAAATTCAAAATATCTTTATTCATGCAGGTCTATTACAGACTTTTATGATATGTCAAATCTACCGTCAGTTCGGAATGATCTCGAGATGAGAAGAACTGACAAGGAACTCGGCTCGTATTCTTTTCAAATAAATTTTATACATGTTTATAATAATACAGATTCATTTTTAAGTTCAAATTTGGGAGAATAGAGTGACCACCAGCATATGCTATTGCAAAAGCAAATAGTCTAATTAGTAAAAGTCTAATTGTGCCTTAATCCCATCATCATCATCATCATCATCATCATCATCATCATCATCATCATCTGCCCACCCTTATTCCAATTATTATTCGGGGTCGACGTAATATGTTTTCCTCTTCCATTCTTCTCTATTCCCAGTCATTTCCGCATTCACTCCCATTCTGGCCATATCGTCCCTCACACAATCCATCCATGTCTTTTTAGGTCTTTCTCTGTTCTTCTAATCTCATCATCATCATATCAGTTATTAATTGACTACTGTTGATCATAGGGTAATCCTTGGCGGTCGCCAGTAATTGCCACGCTTGGCAGGCGAATTGGCAACTGCAGTTAGGCTTTTATGATGTTTTAAGAGGCACGCTGTCTCACGAGCCATCTCACGAGCATTTATTCGCCTCTTACGAAATGAAGTGATATGGCGATATGGCGAGTTAGTATGGGAGACTCAAAATTTTTTGACTTTTTTGAATTTTTGATACACGACATTTCTGTCGTAAATTCTATAACATGGATAGATTCTTAGTTCTATATATAATAAACGACAATGACTTTACCTTATATATATGTATATATATATATATATATATATATATATATATATATATATATATATATATATATATATATATATATATATATATATATATATATATATATATATATATATATATATATATATATATATATATATATATATATATATATATATATATATATATATATATATATATATATATTTAATTAACTTAAAATCTACTTTATTTTAGATGAAGTTCATCGCCAGCTGTTAGTATCGAATGCTAAAGTTGTAGTCACATTGCCTGAAATATCGAATATTGTTAAGGAAGCTTTTAAACTGGCTAAAATAGATATACCAATAATAGTAATAAAAACGAATGGAGATCCAGCACCTGAAGGGACAGTACTGTTCAATGAATTATCTGAAGATGTCCACGTGGACACGTCTTGTTTGAAGAAAGTGAGGAGAAGTAACAATGACGTGTGCTTCTTACCGTATTCGAGTGGCACTACGGGCTTGCCGAAGGGAGTGGAGCTGTCGCATAGAAATATAGTTGCGAACTGCATTCAAATCAGTGAACCAGCGATAAAACAACACAACGAGACGACCAGTGAGTACTATTTGTGTATTTATACTATTAAATATGTAGTTTTTTTTTTATACAACTTAGAGTGGCAAACAAGCTGACAGTCCATCTGATGAAAAGTGGTAACCGTCGCCTATAAACATGAGCAGTACCATAGACATAATAGGGTATATTGTTTCGCCCATGATACCCCCCATGCGTTGCCATTCCTGAGGACTCAGGTGTTATTCCTCTGTACCCAGTAAATTCACGCCATATCCCATTCTTCAAACCGAAACACAGCCATGCAAACACAACTGCTTCACGGCAGAAACACGAATGGGACAGAGGTACCCAAGCAATCGACTTTTGTACAAAGTCTCCCTCTGGTATTTTATTGATATTATTAGAAAATATGCATGTACTCTTACACAAGAAGGTTTTATAATAAATATCCGATTGATTACGTTGTTTAGCGCATCGTCACCTTCCTACCCTTATCCCAATTATTATATGGGGTCGGCATAATATGTTTTTTTTTTATCCATATTACAAAAGGATTTAGCTTATAGTTTTACGACCGGCCGCCTGCCTGACGTCAACCCTCTTTGGGAAAATTCTACCAAATCAGATTATAATTATAAAATATCTAGGACAGTTGTAATGCAAATTGATCTATTGTTTATTAAGTTCCAAACATATTTAACAGACTTATCATGTGAGAGCGTCATCTGATGTCAAAAGATGAGTCAGGCATGAGTTTAAGTTTTGTTAGTTTAGTTTGTAAGATTACGTTGTTTAGCGCATAAACAACAATAAACACAAAAAAAAAAACAATGTAAAAGTTAAAATTTGAAAATATTTAATATATAATAACAAAAAAGGTTTTTTGTGTACAATAAAGAATAAATAAATAAATAAGGTTTTATAATAAATAGTCAAGTATTTATTATACGAGGTTTGTCCGGAAAGTACGTATAAAAGTTTTTTAAAAATTTTATTTTACAATTATTCAGGTAAATCAATTTTATCCCCTTCAAAGTACTCCCCCTGTGACATAATGCACTTGTGCCAACGCCGTTTCCACTGTGAGAAGGCTCCTTGAAAGTCCTCTGGTTGTAGGTTTCTCAGCTGCCCCGTCGTAGCTTTTTTTTAGGTATCTCATTTATGTCCCCCAAATGCCGCCCCGAAGTACCAATTTGGTTTTTGGGAACAAGAAGAAGTCACACGGGGCCAAATCCGGCGAATAGGGGGTGTTCGGTCACCGTAATGGAATTTTTACTCAAAAACTCACGGACAACAAGAGAGGTGTGGGCAGGGGCATTGTCGTGGTGAAGAATCCAACGCCCCTCTCGCGCCAATTCTGGACGAACTCGTGCCACACGAGCTTTGAGGCTGAGCATCGACGTAGAATTTTCCATCAACTGTCTGGCCTGGAGGGACGAATTTATGGACAATCCCCCTATAGAACATCGAAAAAAACAATCAACATTGTCTTGACATTTGAGCGGGATTTTCTTGATTTTTTTGTTCGTGGTTCCCCGGATGTCTATCCACTCTTTGCTTTCACGGCCATTCTTGCCGAGTTTCGAGAGAAACTTGATTACGACGCGCTGCTCTTCAACGGAAGCGGGCTCCATGCCGACGGGGTTATATAAGATGGCGTGACAAGCCAGTTATATTTAGACCAGAACTGAAGCATTGTTAGGGACATAAGGAAGGGGTCCTGCGCTTACCTGGCCTCCCACCCTCTTTCTCGCATTCCAGAACACTTTTATACGAACTTTCCGGACAGACCTCGTAAAACCTTTTTTTTTGTGGAAGAATGCCAGTGTTTTCTAATGTGTATTATTATGTATACAAAGTTCCATTAAGTATTCATAAACACGACTATTAACATATAAAATTTATTTATATAATATATATATATATATATATATATATATATATATATATATATATATATATATATAATATATATATATATATATATATATATATATATATATATATATATATATATATATATATATATATATATATATATATATAAGGTAACAAACTTAAAAAAAACAACTGTGTTGAAAATCTCCTTCCTTTTGAAGTCAGTTTTTTTTTGTTGGGTGAAAATGGTATGGTAACCCCGCCTGCGCTAACGATATACGCTGGCGGAGCACCAGTGAAGGGTGATAGATGAGAATGAAAACAGGCCAGTTAGCCCATCATGATGAATTCATCAGGAATTAACCATGACAGTTTCAAGAGAGAACCGCGAGGAGGTCGACCTGGTTGGGTATATTGCTAGCACTAGCTAGCTATGTTTGCATGGCTGTGTTTCGGTTTGAAGGGTGGGATATGGCGTAAATTTACTGGGTACGGCGGAATAACACCTGAGTCCTCAGGAATGGCAACGCATGGGGTGTATCACGGGCGAAACAGTATACTCTGTTATGTCCATGGTACTGCTCATGTCTATAGGCGACGGTTACCACTTTCCACCAGGTGGACCGTCAGCTTGTTTGCCATTCTAAGTAGCATAAAAATAAAAAAAAAAATAAAAAATAAAAAAAACTAACAATCCCTTTCCCTTTCCCTCCAACATTGAAGCCAGTTGGAATTATTTAAAAAAAAAATCTAAACAGTATATTTAATTTGTAATGCAATTAAAATTGTATTGGGTTATGTGTATGTCTTATAGGTCAAACATAATATGTACTTACCAAATTTTTTACAAAAAAATCCAATTAATTTTCAGAAACACACCAAGACGTGGTTATGGCGGTGCTCCCATTTTTCCACAGTTACGGGGCGACGGTGACGATGTTCCACAGGATGGTGGTCGGTGGCAAGATTGTGACATTAGCAAAGTTGCAACCAGAGCAGTTCTTACAGAGCCTCGAGAAATACAAGGCGAATATTTTGCACATTGCGCCACCTTTAGGTAAGTTTTTTAAAGATATCAAGAATAGGAAACAAGCTGACGGCGCACCTGATGGAAAACAGCAACTGTCGCTTATAGACATGAACAGTACTATGGATATAATGTCACAGTATACACTGTGATGCCCACAGAATACCTCATACGTTGGACTTTCTAAAAACTATGATTTTTTTAATGGATGATAATGGAATGATAACCCCGACTGCGCTAACGGTATACGCTGGCGGAGCACCAGTGAAGGATGACAGTAAGGCCGTATAATGGGGGAAAGGGATTGTTAGTAATGCGGATTATCAGTACCATTGCTAACAATATACCGTTACAGGTCGACCTCCCCGTGGTCCCTCCTGGAAACCATCGTGCTGAATTCTAAGTGTATTTATCACGATGGGCTAACGGGCCTGTCTTTTCATTCTCACCTATCATCCCGCACTGGTGCCCCGCTATATACCGTTAGCGCAGGCGGGGTTACCATTTCATTATCATTCATAAAAAAATGTAAGACCGTATAAATAGGCCGTGTGGTCCCAGCATAAAATAAGCGACCTCTCCTTTTCCTGTGGGTGCCGTAAGAGGCGACTAAGGTAGCTTAATGGTCGAGGAATGGGTTGCAGCGTTCCTTTTAAAACATCTCTAAAAGCTTAACTGTGGTTGCCAACCGTCTATATAGGTATATATACATATACATTTTTTCGATTTTTTTTTTTGCAAAGTCTCTCTCTGGTATTTACTCACTAGATATTTCTGTAATCTGTGAATTTGCCTAATATTTAATCTAGGATCTGGCACACACATATGTGTATCAAATTTCGTTCAAATCCGTTGACAAACAACGTGATGAAGAAATAAATAACACCAAATATTTATTACTGCAAATTTTTTTATAGTTATTTATTATTATTTATTTAACATTTTATTATACCTAATACAGAAAAGTAAACAATGATAATAAAAAAAAATATTTACTTGTAGTGGTCCGATTTCTTTTTCAAGGTTCTCTTTTTAAAACGAATCAGTGTTGTAAACAAAATAATGTTTTCATGAAATTTATATTAATTAGTAGGTAGTTAAAGATATCGACTAATAACATGAATGTGACGTGCGCAGTCGCTGTATCTTTACGTACAAAAAAAATAACATAATTGTCTTTGATCATGTTGTTTACCACCGCGATATGTATTTACTTTAATTTACTTTACTTTATACCTACAAGATACTTTTAAGGGGTCAAAAGATAATGTATTTTTAAAAACGATTTTATTTTATGATATATTCGTTTATTAAAAATATATTAAGAGTCGAATAGAGCTTTCTCGAAGAACGCTAGACTCGAACTGAACTAATTGTGTGAGCCAGGATTGCCAGATGCGAATTATTTTTTGCGCCAAATTAATATGATTTTTATCTCATCACAAAGTTGTATTGTTATTTATTATTACAAACAAACAAATAAACAATCAAATTTCCTCTTTTTACGGGTGCAAACCCCTTCCAAACCATACTACAACATACCAATACATATTGCACAATAGCTGTTCCCAGAAATTCCCAGAAAGAATGAAGACACACTTTACAAAGGAAATTGATAAAAGGGAACACCACAGGACAGTGAGAAGCCAGTGTGTTTTAAGTCGCGAACGTACGGTGTATATTTTAGGTATCAATCACGATTCATAGATATAATTACTATTATATAATTACTAATTTTAAATAAAGACTTTGTATTAAATTATATTAAACGACATTGTGAACTTGAATAGTATTCGTTTTTTAAAAAACCTATCACCGACCGTCAGAACGTAATTCTCTTAATAATATTACCTACTATAAAAGTACATAGATAAAAAAAAACGCACCGACGAGTATGACGAGTATAATTTGTAGACACATTAGTTTTTATATATTTGAATTTGAACGCGGAATTGTGTGTCTGAATATACATAGATTTTGTTTTTTGTTTTTGTTGAAGGGAGACCAGATGGAGACTGTACAAAAGTCGTTTGCTTGGGCACCTCTGTCCTATTCGTGTTTCTACCGTGAAGCAGTTGTGTTTGCATTGCTGTTTCGGTTTGAAGGGTGGGATATGGCGTGAATTTACAGGGTACAGAGGAATAACACCTGAGTCCTCAGGAATGACAACGCATGGGGGGTATCATGGGCGAAACAGTGTACTCTGTTATGTTTATGGTACTGCTCATGTCTATAGGCGACGGCTACCACTTTCCATCAGGTGGGCCGTCAGCTTGTTTGCCATTCTAAGTTGTATATAAATGGGATAAATTGTGCAATTTTTTTTTGGAAGATGTAGGTATAGATTTAGATTCAAATATTTTATTTGCCATGCAAACAAGTTACTTTCAACTTGTCATTTCCATGTTGTACCATACGTTAATAGTCCGCTGTTGAACGTAACCTCCCCTATAAGGGGATTTTTTTTTTAATGGGCGATAATGGAATGGTAACCCCACCTGCGCTATTGGTATACACCGGCGGGGCACCAGTGAGGGATGATAGGTGAGGATGAAGCAGGTCAGTTAGCCCATCGTGACGAATTTAACAAGAATTGTTCACGATGGTTTACAGGGGGAACCACGTGGAGGTCGACCTGATAGGGCATATTGCTAGCAATGTCGAACTCCATTGCTGACAATCCCTTTCCCCCCTGGCAGGCAGGTTGGCAATTGCATTTTGACTTTTGGTAATGTTCTAAGAGGGACGCTGCTGCCCGTCCCTCCACTGATGTAATATTACAATACAGGAAGGCTTTCAGCAAATGACTTTTTCATTTTTGACAAATATTTTAATAGAGAACATATGGAACGTTCAACAATGCGGAGCGAACAGAGCGATTTTTTTTTATTTGCGACTTTGGCAAAAACCATCAGCCAAAAAGTAACAATTACAAGGTAACAGAACATAAAATTAAAAGACAAATTACAAAAATTACAATGATTATAAATTAATTATAATATACTAAAAAAGGAAGTTTAGTAGAAAGGTATAAGTTACAATTACATATTTAAATTTCACCGATTGTTGAAGTAATATAATTAAAAATTTGATACAAAATGGTATGTTTTAGAAGAACCTGCACTGAAGTAGGAATATTTTGAGCGAATAGAGACAGAGAGAGAGAAAAAAAAATACACTTTTTAATACAATATATATAATAGAGACATAGACCATAGTCGTGTACAGCCATGGGCGTGACAGTATGCTCTGTTTTTGGTTACAACATCCATCATAAGAATTTACATAATTCAGTCATATTTATTGTAGATTTTGTAATTTTCTGTTACAGGATTGTTAATGACGTCCCACCCCGCTGCTTCACCGAAGATTTACCAATACTTAGAGGTGATACTAAACGGAGCGGCGCCATTTGCTGGCTCAGATGCCAATAGATTACTGAGTAAAATTCAGGTATTATAATTTTTTGTAAGTTTTAATTTTATTTGCTATGCATGTTAGTTTGTTTGTTTAGGTCAAACCTTGTATCATCTTACCAGAGAGAGACTTTGTACAAAAGTCGTTTGCTTGGCCACCTCTGTCCTATTAGTGTTTCTACCGTGATGCAGTTGTGTTTGCATAGCAGTGTTTCAGTTTGAAGGGTGAGATATGCCTGTACCCTGTAAATTCACTGCCATATCCCACTCTTCAAACCGAAACACAGCCATGCAAACACAACTGCTTCACGGTAGAAACACGAATGGGACAGAGGACAGAGAGTTAGTTCAGTTTAATACTCATTTATTTTAAATATATAAACACTGAACGGCCATCGGATGAAATCGGTAATCCATTCGAGTATTCTGACATTCCCTATGGTTGACTGGGAGAGAATTTTTCAAGTCCGCCATGTACACATATTTGTACTAATGAATAAATAAATAAATGAAACTTTAGCAAGTTGGAGGCAAATACGTCTAATTGTGGATACTGGCTCAAAACACCATTGAGTAATTACGCAAGAGAAAAATGGAGCTTGCTTGGCTAACTCTGTTCTTAATGGAACATCAAATAAGTGTCTATTTATTTTCATTTATAATAAGTAATATTAATTTTTCAGCGTAAAATAGACTTTCGACAAGGGTACGGCCTGACTGAGACGTCGCCAGTGGTCTCTTTACCAATCATAGGATCGGAGCATTACTCGTCCGTCGGTAATCCAATGCCCAGTACCGAAGTCAGGATTGTTGATAGTAATTTGAAAAATTTGGGCCCTAACGAGGTATGTATTATTCTTGTGCATAAAATACAAAAGTCTTAAAAAAAAAAACTTTTATTTTTTTATTTTAAAATGTACATGGAATGAACGAACGGTCAGGTCATAGAATGAGCTCCCTGTCGAGATTTTTCCAAGATACTAGCATGGGGTTCTTCAAGAAAGGAGTAAAGGGGTTTCCTATGAAAGGTTATGGTAACCGCTTATCAGGGGGGCCGTATGCTTGTATGTTTTAAGAGGGACGCTGTTGTAGACCCCTCGAACGTTAAGTTCTCCTAGTCGCTTCTTACTACTCTCTTTTCTCTCTTAGATGTCCTATGGGAAAGAAAAGGGTGGCGTGTGGTGTTTCTATGCTTGGACCAACCGACAATTTAGAAGAATATATATATATATATATATATATATATATATATATATATATATATATATATATATATATATATATACCCTATTTTTTATGCCATTCAATAAAAATGACAAAAAAATCTTTGGATAATAAATCCAAATTCCTATTGATATTTCAGACAGGAGAGCTCCTAGTACGAGGCCCTCAAGTAATGCGTGGTTACAAGAACAACCCAGAAGCCAATAGAGAGACCTTCACCGAGGACGGCTGGTTCAGGACCGGGGACATGGCTGTGGTCGATGATAACGGAGACATCACGATTGCTGATAGAATTAAGGAATTGATAAAGGTTAGTTATATACTTTTTGCTGCTTTACAGTTTAGAGTACGCAGTTTATGCCTTATTGATCAGCTAGCTTCTATAATGCTATAAATATAGCATTATATAGCATATATAGAATAATAAATATTATATACTTTATTGTATTTATTTATTTAAATGACTTTATTGGTTAAAAGAAAATATGGTACAAAAGGCCGACTTAATGCTAGTAGCATTTTTTACCAGTCAACCTTTGAGATGAATCACGAACGCGGTACTTCATTACAGGGACAGCTAAAAATGTATACCTATACAATATAAATAATGCATATGTTGCAGTCAAAACTCTTAACCAATCAAACGTACTTTTCTTTTATATATATAATTATTATTTATATATTTAATTATTATTTATATATTTATTTATTTACAACTAGATTAGAGATTCTGTAATATTTGTATTTTATTTATTTATTATTAGGGCAGATGTGGTGAAAAATATGTGGCATAATTATATATATATATATATATATATATATATATATATATATATATATATATATATATATATATATATATATATATATATATATATATATATATATATATATATATATATATATATATCTATATATATATATATATATATATATATATATATATATATATATATATATATATATAGATATATATATATATATATATATATATATATATATATATATATATATATATATATATTCTATTATAATTATTCTAATCACTCTATACCAACCGACTCGACCAGACCCAAGATCTACTGTTTACTGAAAACCGACAACTGATGGAAAATAAAGCTTCTTGAGTGGCGATCCCGTATGGGCAAACGTAGTGTGGAACGATTACTGCTGCCACTAGATGGAGTAACGACCTCAAATGCATTGCAGAGAGTCAGTGGATGTAGATGGCTCAGGACTGTTCCTTATGGCTGTCTATGGGGGAGGCCTATATTCAGCAGTGGACGGGTAATGGCTGAAATGATGACGATGATATCATATTGTTAAATGTATAAAAGAAACAAATAAATGCCCAATGTCTGCCATAGTTGTATACAGAGAGTTTTTATATTTTTTTTTTCATGATCTTGGAATGACTATTTACAGGTCAAAGGCTTCCAAGTTCCACCGGCGGAGCTGGAAGGCGTGTTACGTGACCATCCATCCGTACTCGACGTGGCTGTCATTGGTGTACCACATCCGACCAACGGCGAAGCGCCCAAAGCGTTTGTCGTACTCAAAAATGGGCAAAATGCGGACACAAAAGACATATGCAACTTTGTCAACGAGAGAGTGGCCTCATACAAGAGGCTCAACGATATTGTCTTCCTGGACAGCATACCGAAGAGTTTGTCAGGAAAGATTTTGAGGAAAGACTTGAAGGCTAAATATTGTTGAGTTTTATTATTCATTGTTATTGTTATATACTGTATAAATACTCCGTTGGACAAGTATAGACTGTCTACCATAACATGGCACGTTCTTCTTAAATTCAAAGAATTAGAAAAAAATTACAAGATTTCGACCAAGGAATATATATATATATAATACTCCTCAATAAAATACTATTCTATTTTATTCCTCTCTGAAGATGTTTCCTAACAAACATAAATAGATCACGTCTGTACATACATTGAGGTAAAGAGTTGGAGAGGCATGCCATGTTAAGGTAGACATTCTATACTTATTCTGTGACTGAAATTGTCAGGGACCAAAATATTATTTTTTTTATTATAAGATATAGCAATACGATATAATAATTAATTTTAATAATTTTGTATTGTATTATTAAGTAGAGTTTATATAATTTTTATATAATTAACAGATTTTAATAATTTTGTATTGGATTATGTCCCTTTCGTGTTTATATAAAGCAGTTTTTATATTCTGTATTTCGGTTTGAATGGTGGGATATGGCAGTGAATTTACATGGTACAGAGGAATAACACCTGAGTCCTCAGGAATGGCATTGCATGGGAGGGTATCATGAGCAAAATAGTATACTCTTTTATGTCCATGGTACTGCTCATGTTTATAGGCGACGGTTACCACTTTCCAACATTTTTGTGGTCCAATGACTACCGGAAAACCTATGAACAAAGGAATTAGGAACTCCACTAAGAAATAAATAAAACTGACAGGAAATGGAAGTATAAACGGAATGAAAGAATGGATGGAAAGGAAGAAAACTAAGGAAACTAGCTAAATAATTAAAAGTAATAGATGCATAACCTGGAACTTAATATCCGGGAAAAAGCGTCCTCCTAAGGGGGAACCACAATAAAAAAAAAACAACTGCTTCACGGTTGAAACACGAATGGGACAGAGGTGATCAAGCAATCGACTTTTGTACAAAGTCTCCCTCTGGTAAGGTAAAGTAAGTTCATATGTGGTCTGGATAAACTTTTCGTAGGTTTAGTTTAGTTGTGAATATAAAATTATGTTGTACGCAGAGTTATTTGACCATGTTTGTTATTTTAATACTGATTTGGAATATTCTATTATATTTTTATATAAATAAAATAATTTGTATTCCAATGTCTTGTATTTATTGTGTACCTTTTTTTAATGGATGATAGTGGGATGGTAACCCCGCCTGCGCTATCGGTATACGCTGGCGAGGCATCAGTGGGGGGTGAGAATGAAAGCAGGCCAGTTGGTCTATTGTGGTGAATTCAACAAGATTTAATCACAATGGTTTCCAGGGGGAACCGCGCGGAGGTCGACCTATTAGGGTATATTGTTAATAGTAAGGCTTTTAGATTTTATTACTAACAATCCCTTCCCCCGCCCCCCAACTTGTATGTTTTTTTTAATGGGTGATAATGGAATGGTAACCCCACCCGCGTTATCCCCCCCCACGATGTTTTCCAGGGGGAACCACGTGGAGGTGGACCTGTTATATATTGCTAACAGTACACACATGTTACACACATTACAGATTAGTCGTATCTATATGAGATTAGCTGATTAAACGTTTATTAATTAAAACTGACTGTGTGGTCCATAATAACATAATTTTTCATTTCGTAAGTGTGCTACAGTAATACAAAATGGTCACAACTCAGTTTATTGCTTGACCCTCAAAAGAGCAAGAGACTACCGACTAAACCGTCTTTCAAAAAAAGCGTTCACGCTCACTTTTTATCTTTATCCGAGCAGTAAGTGCTTTATATTATTCCCAAATTCGTGTATAATATAGTATATATCATATATGTGTAAGTATATTTGTTATTCATATATATTTATTCGTTTATATATGTAATTTTAGTATGTATATATATCAATAATTAGTAGTACCGCATTCGAGTATTCTGACACTTCCCTATGGTTGACTGGGAGAGAATGTTTTTAGCATTAAGTGCGCCATGTACACATATTTGTACTAATGAATAAAAAAAAAAAAACAAAACACTGATATTCTGTTGTGGCCGTAAGCCAGAAAATTTTCTATGAATAGATTTGATATTATTATACTTTGTTTAGAGGGAGGGGGGTGTATATCTGTTTATAGGCGGCAATTACTACTTCCCATTAAGTGACCCATTAGCTTGTTTGCCATTTTAAGTTATAAAAAAAATATATATACTGTTTTCAAACATGATTATCCACGGAACCCTATTTATGTGTACACAATACATTTGTTCTTACCTAATATTATTTCATATCTCATTATCAGTTTAAATATTACGTAAAATTATCCACAACAACAAAAAAAAAAATGTATATATGTATATATGTGTTAATTATGTATTTTTTATCTTTATTAACGTGCTATGATAATGTGCCGGCATATGCCAATGTACATAGCGGATTTTACATGTCATAAGCAAGACAGATAGTTTCAAGTATTGTGTATTGAACAACGTTGTGTTTGTGGCTTCAAACATGTCTATAAAACAAGGGTTCCGTGTAACAAATGCGTTTGCCAAAATAAATAATAGTGTGTTTAGTGTGGTAGCGAGGAAGATTCATGTGTGGAATGATGATAAAACAGTGAATTCTCCCTACAAGGATGTAGTTATTCCCGAGACGACGCTGGCGGAATATGTTTGGCAAGTTTTGGATAAACACCCCACTAAGACGGCGACGGTAATTAAATAATTTATTAAAATAAATGTTAATATAACTAAAGATGGTCTTACAAAAAAAAAATCGATTGTAATTGTGACAAAACCAATTATTTCGATTTAAAAACTGAATCGATTTTGATAAAGTTTGTTTGGGACCAATCTGTAAGTATATCCTTTTAGATTAAAAAAAAAGAATATTCCAAATCGGTTTACAGTTGACGAAGAGATAAGGATCTCATATTGTAATAAATATACAAAAATAGACAACCATATTGAGAGGGGGGAAAGGGATTGTTAGTAATGGAGACTGAGAATCCCATTGCTAGCAATATACCCAACCAGGTCGACCTCCTCGCGGTTCTACCTGGAAATTATCATGGTTAATTCCTGATGAATTCATCATGATGGGCTAACTGACCTGTTTCATCCTCATCTATCATCCTTCACTGGTACCCCGCCAGCGTATACCAATAGTGCAGGCGGAGTACCATTCCATTATCACCCATTAAAAAAAACACCTTCCTTTCCCGTGGGTGACGTTAAAGGCGACTAAAGGGACTTAATGTTCGAGGATGGGCAGAAGCATTCCAGGTCCCCCCTGGAAACAATCGTGCTGAATTCCAGGTGTGTTCATCACGTTTAGTTAACTGACCTGCCTTTTCATCCTCATCTATCATCCCTCACTGGTGCCTCGCCAGTGTATACCGATAGCGCAGGCGGGGTTGCCATTCCATTATCATCTATTCGGTATTAATTCATCAGGAATTAACCATGATAGTTTCCAGGGAGAACCGAGCGGAGGTCGACCTGGTTGGGTATATTGCTAGCAATGGGATTCTCAGTCTCCATTACTAACAATCCCTTTCCCCCCTAAGCAGGTTAGTTAGCCCATCGCGACGAATTCAACAAGAATTGTTCACGATGGTGTCCAAAGGGAACCGCGTGGAGGTCGACCTGATATTACACCCTGTATTACTAGCAATGGGTTCATTAGACACCATTACTAACAATTCCATTCCCCCGGAAAGGAAGGTGTGGACCATTCTATGCCTGGACCAGACGGCATGCAATATGCATAACGTAATGTATTATTTACGTTTGTAGAGTACATAGCTGAGGTCAATGCGAAGGTAGATACAAAGTACAGTCGCAGATATTATCATATATTAAAACAACGTTTATCCGTGTTTTTTTTTAATAGATGATAATGGAACGATAACCCCGTCTGCGTTATCGGTATACGCTGACGGGGCACTGTCTAATAGGCGAGGATGAAAAGGCAGGTCAGTTAGCCCATCGTGATGAATACATCTGGATTTCAGCATTTTTTTTAACTACTTAGAATGGCAAACAAGCTGACGGCTCACCTGATGGAAAGTGGTAACCGTTGCCTATAGACATGAGCAGTGCCATGGACATAACAGAGTATACTGTTTCGCCCATGATACCCCCCATGCGTTGCCATTTCTGAGGACTCAGGTGTTATTCCTCTGTACCCAGTAAATTCACGCTATATCCATGCAAACACAACTGCTTCACGATTGGAACACGAATGGGACAGAGGCACCCAAGCAATCGACTTTTGTACAAAGTCTCCCTCTGGTGACAGCATGATGGTTTCTAGGGGGGCGGAAGGGGCATGTAGATTTACCTATTAATAATTCCAAGGCATGTAAATGTTAGGTAATTAATGTATTATTATTTGCATTGTTTTATTATGTTTTTTTTTGTACAACTTAGAATGGCAAACAAGCTGGCGGCCCATCTGATGGAAAGCGGTGACCGTCGTCTATAGACCAGTGCACAGTTAAAGGGCGATGTGATGATGATGATGATGAATACATAAATCATTCAATACACGAGTAAAAAAAACCTGCAATTATAAATAGTTATGATAAATAGGTTCGTAATCATAAAATAAGCTTAAATTAAAAAGATAATACCTTTATTATATGCTATAATTGATTAATGATTCAATGCATTATAAAGATAAATATTAATACCAGTAAAGTATAATATTCTGTGATGTTACGTTTTAAATAATAATAATAAAAAAAAATATGAAGCATAAAAATAAATAAAAATCAGTTTTAAAATATACAAATGAAGCCTTTTTATATATATTCTACTTGGACTAGTAGGTTAATACTACTAAAAAAACTAATAACTAGACTACAAACATACATACATATCTGTCACGCCTGTCTCCCATTAGGGTAGGCAGAAACAATGGAACGTCAAATGCTTCGATTCAAACAAACCTCTTTCGCTTCTTCCACATTCATCAATCTTTTCATACATGCTCGCCGGTTGCGGGTACTTTTAATTTGGCCCTTCTTCAGCACGTCGCCTATTTGGTCAACATACGTCCATCTAGGGCGGCCCCTACCGACATCTCCCTTTTTGCTCGATAAATCTCTCTCGTAATTCTTCTTTCATCCATCCTCTCCAAATGACCAAACCAACGCAACATTCCTTTTTCGATTTTTGTCACTACATCGTCTTTCAGTCTAATTAGACTACTAATAAAAATATTTGAAAGTTTGAGTATTCATTTTAGACGTGCTCGCTAAGAAAATAAAAATATTTTTTTAATTAATTCCATTATTCATTCAATTCCATTATTAATTATATATAAAACTATTCTAAATTTCAAGTCGATAGCGTTAATAGTTGCCGAGATATAACACAGACAGACAGATAGATGGATTGACAGACAAAACCACATCATAAAGGTTCCTTTGCATCTTTTTGGTACGGAACCCTAAAAAATAAAGGTACACGCGTAAACACACCTATGCTACAGTTTGTATATAAAAATCTAGTTTTTTGCACGCGCCTTTTTACATGTAGATTTTGGAATATGAAACTCAATGATTTAGACCATTTCTAAATAGCGCAAGAAGATAAAAAATACACAAGTTTTTAATTTAGCCCATCAGAAATACTACTGTGAAAATCGCATCCAATTTGCTGCAGCAATTTTAGTGTGATGCCGAAACAAACGTACATACATACTGGCAAAAATCTAAAAATATTGTTATATGTGCATATATTTTTTTCAATTTTCAAACGTGTACACAACATATAGTCATATGTATAAATGTTGCTGTCAAAACTTTTAACTAGTCAAAAGTACTTTTTTTTTGTTGGATGAACATGGATTGGTAACCCCGCCTGCGCTAACGGGATACGCTTGCGGAGCACCAGTGAAGGGTGATAAATGAGAATGAAAACAGGCCTGTTAGCCCATCATGATGAATTCATTAGGAATTAACCATGATAGTTTACAGAGGGAACCGCGAGGTGGTCGACCTGGTTGGGTATATTGCTAGCAATGGGATTCTCAGTCTCCATTACTAACAATCCCTTTCCCCCGCAAATTTGCGGTTAGGTTAGGTTAGGTACTTTTAACTGTTATTTTAGTCAAAAGTATTGTTAACTAAAGCATACGGTCAAAAGTACTTTTGACTGGTCAAGAGTTTTGACTGCAACATATATACGTATAGATAAACATAGTGATAAGAAAATTAATCGCACCATAAAACTATAGGCCTAGAAAAGGTGATAGTCCTCATGCCAAAGATAAGGAAAGATTATTATTGGGTTTTTGTACAACGAAAGCAACAAATAAATAAAATTATAAATAAATAAAAAACACCTTGAAATGCCAAGACAGATTATCATAAATTGTAGCTAAGAACAACTTCGATCAGTTCAACTTTGAATCAAAACTACCCACATCATAATCGGTCCATACGTTTAGGAGCTATGATACGCAGATACAGACACCTACAAATGTCAAATTCATGACTACTAATACACTACTTTTTTGCGTCGGGGGTTAAAAATAACAAAATGAGAACAAAGGGATATAGAAAGAGCCTCGAATCTGCGACCGTCAAAAGGTAGATAGCTAGATAAATTTTTTTATTATAAATTCCTCAGGAATGGCAACGCATGGGGGGTATCATGAGCGAAACAGTATACTCAGTTATGTCCATGGTACTGCTCATGTCTACGTCATGGCGACGGTTACCACTTTCCATCAGGTGGACCGTCAGCTTGTTTGCCATTCTAAGTTATATAATTGTGTAAAAAAAAAAAACATTAATTAGGTACATTATTACTACTAAAGTTGATATACCAACATCTACATATATACCTAAAGATTATTTTTTAATTTAATATATAAAATTACAGATATGTGCTATAACGAAAAGGCATTACACGTTCGAGCAAATATATAAACAGAGTCAAACATTAGGTGCTAACCTTAGAAGAAAATTCAATATACAAGATGGAGATACTGTCGCTGTCTTACTGCCAAATATACCAGAGTACCCAACTGTGGTATTCGGTATATTAAATGCTGGGGGAATCGTCACTACACTAAATCCCATATACACTGCTTGTAAGTATTTTCTATTATAAGTTCTTAATATTTTAGTCCTTAGGTACCATGTATCCATTACATTTTTTTTCTAATACACAAAATGGTGTTCAAGTAAATGGACGATGTTTTTTTTTGATGGATGAAAATGGTATGGTAACTCCGCCTGCGCTAACGGGATACGCTGGCGGAGCACCAGTGAAGGGTGATCGATATACTTATATTGACATGTAGTAGTATTCGGTTTTGTTTTCTATAATTGCATTTAAATAATTTATTAAAAATACGTACTCGAAAAAAATTTATTATGAGAAATCGATGTTTTTTTAGTTTTCGACTTTTGCAATCAATTTATCAGACTTCAGTTCGGATCAATTTAAAAATTAATCTTTTTCGAATTATTTTCACCATCCTTAATTTTATAAAAAGTCTTCCTTCATTTACACATAGAGTAGATTCTAAGATTTAATACCTTAATCTTTCTTCTAACATGAAAATTATAATTTGATAGTTTGGTAAAACTTAAGTTACGAAACAAAGAGCTAAGTATTTGTAACATAATGCTATTATAAATTAATTTATACTACTTCTTAGAATAATAACTTTGTTGTAATTTACATATGAAATTTTAGTTTTACATATAGAGACGAAGATATAACATAGAGTGGCGCTTTAGTATTAAAGCCACGCACACACGCACTAACTCACGCAGCACACGCACGCACACGCACATGCACGCACACGCACACGCACACACACACACTATACTCAAATTGGTTTTAACTGTATTTAGTATTTAATTACTCTATTTAATTTATTGCTTCATTCTATATTTAAATTTACCATCTATTTTAAATGTGTTAATAAATTGCAAGCTCATTATTTTAATGTAAGAGGGAACAGCATCTAAGAAAGTTTTAGTAAGTTGCAATAAGTTTTGTAGCATAAAACGAGGAAATTGAATTAACTTATTTAAAGTACTGGATCCATTTGGATGGAACTTAATTGGTACCCTTGGTAGTTCTTGTTGGTAATTCAAAGTCTACAATAGTGAAGTTGGAAAATTGCACGTTATAAATCACAATCTTCATTCATAATGCCCACTACTAAATAGAATTGATGAGAGGCTTATAGAACTGTTCCCAGAAGGGGGTTGAATTGGTAAAGTAATGCCATGGTAAATGAATTCTGAGAAATTGAAATGAGAATTTGATAGTTCACCTACTGGAAGGGGGAGTTGTTACTTAGCCCATAGTCTTCATGGCCATATTTTTACGTTCATATTCGATGAGTTGCAGTTCTTGTAATTGCTAATAAAATGCTTGTTTTCAATACTTTCTTGTTCAATATTGAATATATATATTGAATTAGAAAGGTCTTACAAGTGAACATAGGTGAATTACTTTGCGTGAATTTACTAGGTACAGAGGAATAACACCTGAGTCCTTAGGAATGGCAACGCATGGGGGGTATCATGGGCGAAACAGTATACTCTGTTATGTCCATGGTACTGCTCATGTCTATAGGCGACGGTTACCACTTTCTATCAGGTGGGCCGTCAGCTTGTTTGCCATTCTAAGTTGTATAAAAAAAAAGATTTATACAAATAAATTCACTATCGCGCACATTATGTCTAATTAAACATTGTTACTGTATTTAAGAGTGCATTAAAGTTCCCTTATCAATATTATAAATGTCAAAGTAGCGACCATTATGAAATTTGATATACATGACTAAACTATATGATGTAGGCTAATTTTTATGCCAATCAGTGGACATGTTCTGGTCAAAGGAACGAAGTCGCGGGCAATAGATTGTATGTGTATATTATGAAGCTTTTATTTTATTAAGGCTATTATTTCAATGCAACACAATAATTATTAAACTACTCTTTATTTACAGATGAAGTACAACGACAGATACAGTTGTCTGAAGCAAAATTAATAGTAACACTTCCAGAACTGGTTACTGTAGTGAATAAAGCTTTAGAATTAGCAAAAGTGAATATTCCCGTAATAGCTGTGAATACAAATCAAGATTTACCTGACGGCACAGTTTCATATAAAGAGCTTGTTGAAGATAATCATGTTGATTTAAACGTTTTGAAACAAGTAAAGAGAAACGTCAACGATGTAGCATTTCTACCATATTCCAGTGGAACGACTGGACTTCCTAAAGGAGTGGAGCTAACTAATAAATGCCTTGTAGCAAATTTACAACAACAAACTACTGACATGAGAATGTACTCGTTTACAACAGGTAAGTGGAAAGGTATGCACTTGCACTTTGAGATAAAACTCGACACTGATGGACAGACAACGCACCAGTCTAGAGGAGATAAGAATCTTCTATTACTTATTCAGTTGGAAATAAAAGTAATTAGCATCTTTTGAAGAAGTGTTTTAACAGAAACTAAACTATTTCACATTACATAAACATAATTAGAAAATTGACAAACATTTTTTATGGTACTATCTTGAAAGTTAAATGCGTCGTATTAATTTGAGAGGATTACATTTTATTGTCAAGTTTCGATCGAAATTTCTTTGGAAAAAATGGTAGAACGCAACTTAAAAGTGATGCCAATAATTTAATTTTTAACCTAAACATTATAAATAAACAAAACTAGAGCCTGCGGCTTTTCATGCATGGTCTTGTATTGCCCTTTAAATTAAATTAAATTAAAAAAAAATTTTAGTGAATGATTACATTAAAAATAAACCTATGTTCCTAATTTTAGTTTTCTAGTCTTAATAATTTAGGTTGTCTGTTGATAATCAGTTAGAATTACAATTTTATAAATATAAATATAAGTATTGCATTGATTTTCAGAGACCAACCAAGATTCCGTATTGGCTGTGTTGCCAATATTCCACGTATACGGCTTATCTTATGTAATGCTACAAAGTCTCACAGCTGGTCTGAAGCTTGTCACGTTGCCTAAATTTCAGCCGGATACATTTCTTCATTCATTACTAGAGTACAAAATTAACAATCTTTATTTGGCTCCGCCTATGGGTAATTAATTTTATTTATTTAAACTTTAGGTTTGAGCAAAATTTGCAGAATAAGACAGACCATATTTCATTGGCGAATTTGAGGTTATTTATCATTGGCTCCTTGTACGCATGTACTATCTATAGAATCAGTTTTACATAGGCTTTGTTGAAATTACATTTTCCAATTTTTTTTTATACCACAAAGGTCATATATCAAACAAGCATATATCCCGTCTGATCGTAAATGGTTATTGCAGCCTATGGACGCCTGCACCACCATGGGTGTAGCGTGTGCGTGGCTGATCTTGAAGAAATATTAGTATACCTACCCTTTTTGAAGAACTCCATACTGTAGTCTCTAGAGAAAACCTTGGCAGGAAGCCCATTCCACAGCTTGAGCGTTACTATTTAATGAATGATAATGGAATGGTAACCCCACCCGCGCTATCGGTATACACTGGCGGGGCACCAGTAAGGGATGACAGATGAGGATGAAAGCAGGTCAGTTAGCCCATCGTGACGAATTCAACGATAAATTAATCACGACGGTTTCCAGGGGGAACCGCGTGGAGGTCGACCTGATAGGATATATTGATAGCAATGGGGCCTAACCTCTCCATTACTATCAAACTCTTCCCCCCAGCCTGAGCGTTCGTGGGAGAAAATTCCTCTGAAACCGCACTGTACGTGACCATTTAGGTTCAAGCGTGTGAGGATGAATTCTCTGTCGATGGCGAGCGATGCCATGATAAAAGGTGGCTGTAGGCATCACCTCAAACAACTTATGAAATCTTGTATACACAAAAAGTATTGTAAAACGCCATAGGTTTAGATGGGAATAGAAAACGCAAGTAGGAAGTAACTTTAGTTTCTTTTACTTAGCTGTGTTTATTTATTTGTCGTATATGTTATACAAATCTATAAAACTATTTCTAAATACCAAAAACTCTGAGTTTCGAATCGATATTTTGCCAGAGTTTAAGTAGGCTCATTTCATCTGTTCAGACTATTTAGGCAAAATTTTGACATGCGAAGTACTAACAGTTTATTATTTATTTAAATTCAATCTAAAAAAAATGTATTCTATAAAGAAAATATTTATTACTTAGGTAAAAAACGTTGCGTGCAAAGAATAAGAAATTTTAAATTTATATTTAAGTTTCGTGAGTATTGAGAGTTTAAATAGAAATACCTGGAATATTCGAAGTATTAATACTCGTAGTTGTTTGTATTATTAGCTGTTGCACTTCAGCTGCCCGATAACTACATGCTTTCCAACTGTATCGGGTTGACTGGAAGAGATCTCTGTCAACGTAATGTAATTTACAATGTTAATGCATTTATAAATATTGTGAGCAAGGGTGGACTTATCTCTGACAGAGATCTCTTCTAGTCAACCCAATGCAGTTAGAAAACATGTTGCTAGCGGGCAGCTGAAGTGCTACAACTATTAATATTTAGTATACATAAACAAATATACAGTTAAATAAAATATTAAGATACATAATAAAATATTACATAAATACATATACTATATATATATATATATATATATATATATATATATATATATATAAATCCAATTAAGTCATATATGTGTATTCAAAGATATGCATATGTAAGTCTGTACAAATGTATATATATAAATGCAATATGCAAACAAAAAAATCCATCAGAATGTTTCTATTCATATTCGTACTTTGACGTTGGTAATGATACACAGGAACAATAGCTCTCACTGCACACGGGATAGACGTTTTCCAGCGCTGTGGAAATTTAATTTCCGTAGAGTGCGCTGAGTGGTGTTTGTAACAAAAAAAAATATTAATTAATTAGTTTATATTTTAAAACAGCTATAATTGTGATATATTGTCAATAAGAACTTTATCACGTGACTTTAAAAAAAAGGAAATTTTTAATTCGGTTGTATTTTTTTTGTCTCTGTGACGTCATAACTCCGTCAGTTATAAACTGATTTGATTCTTTCTTTATCTGAAAGTATATACCTGTAGATCAGATTTTGAATCCGAACAACTGGTTTTCTCACAATGGAAGTTGGTATTTTGTGGAACATAATTATATTTTAAGTGTAAAAACAAGAAAAAGTTTTTTTTTTGGATTATACCTGTGCTTATAAATATGAGTATTTTGGGATATTTGGAGTGGCGTTAGGCTTTATTTTGGACGTGCTATAAGCTATGAGGATACTAACGAATGAAATGTGGTGACCATAAACTGCCATAGACCGAGTTACAAACCGAGGTTTTCCCTAGAGGCTATAGTATGGGGTTCTTAAAAAAGGTTGTATCAGGGTCGGCTATGCGCACGTGACACCCTTAGTGTTGCAAGCGTTCATAGACTACAGCGACCGTTTACCGTCACACGGGCTTATTTATCACCTTTATGGTAAAAACCTTTTCTATATTTTGCACCATTTATATAAAAGTTTTTAATAAAACTTGGTTTAAATAAATGATGAGACGCAATATAATACATAGTAAACAGGTTGTTTTATTTCAGTTAGTCGTAACTAATTATTTATGTTTTTAATGAAAATTAACAATATGTACATGAGTAGAGTTTTACTTATCAGATAATTGACTCATAGTAACTTTGTTATTATTTGATTATGATTGAAAATTAACAATACGTACATGAGTAGAGTTTTACTTATTAGATAATTGACTCATAGTAACTTTGTTATTATTTGATTATGATTGAAAATTAACAATATGTACATGAGTAGAGTTTTACTTATTAGATAATTGACTCATAGTAACTTTGTTATTATTTGATTATGATTGAAAATTAACAATATGTACATGAGTAGAGTTTTACTTATCAGGTATTTGACTCATAGTAACTTTGTTATTATTTGATTATGATTGAAATTTCCCATCAAATCATTTCTTTGACTTGTAGTAACCTTGTTATTATTTCATTATATTTTTTTTATAGAATAAATTCGATGTGCAAGCGAAGAGAGTGAGCAAAGTTGAACCTGTTTGTACAATGTTTTTTTTTTCTTTCAGTTTTGTTTCTTGGCTCACATCCTCAGGCTACGAGCAAACATTTGGAGTCATTACGTGTTATGGTTTCCGGAGCAGCGCCACTATCTCGGGTGGATTTAGATAAGCTTATGGGTAAAGTCAAGGTACATTCAATTGTACTTTATTAAAATATATTTTATAAGAAAAATGGCAGGTAAGTGTATTTCAATGTTGTTGATGTTATTAGAGAACAACTTGTGTGGTAATATTGTCATCTGATAAAGATTGGTGAAAATATAAACAAATGACGAAACAAACTGGACATTAAGGTAAAAAAGTTGATTTATTGATTGAATATATCGATTTGCTGTTAATTTATTCAAGACAGTGTTTTTGTAATAATTTCAGCAAAATTTGATTATATTCCTATTAAGTTTTATTGAACAAGCAAATAATAGTAGTGCATGTGGTTATCGTACTATAAACACGTTATAACTTTGAGTGTAGTAAATATATTTTTTTATTTAAATCTCTTAGATCAGAGTTGTCCAACCTTTTTTTTGTTGAGCTCCCCCGTATTACATATAATATTTTTATGCCCCTCTCGAATTTTGTTTTTATAGAAAAATACACATTCTTTTAACGACTTTTATTTATTTCAATTTAATATTATTTTAATTAAAAAAATAAAGGTCAAATAAAAACCATGTTTTACTAATATATATAACAGAGAACTAATGAGAAACTAAAAATAGCATGCTTTGTACCAGTTGGTTCTTTTAAGGTTTAGTTAATTTTTTCCCGCTATTAAAACGTACTGCTCCCCCTTGAGATCTCTCTACGCCCCCAGGGGGGCTCGCACCCCTGGTTGGGAAGTTCTGCCTTAAATTCTCAATGAACAATAACACATTGAATGAATTGATATTGATATTGCAATGAAAAGACTAATTACATTGTGAATGAGTCTATAGGAACCGTTATAACTGGACTCCATTGTGGTTTCGTTATTGTTCATAAACTTATAGATTAATTTGTCTATTGTTTATTACAATATTCGCAAATAAAATAATATAAAAATATAATTGAAGTACTAAAGAATGATTTTTTCTCAAAATCGCAAAAACATAAGTTACGTAAACGTATGCAGCAATTAATCATTTAAAACGAGTTTTTGTTTTTTTTTTTATACTGCTAAAGTGACGAAGAAGGTATATATGTATAGAATATAGATAAAAAATATTTTTAATTTATATAATTTAGAATAGTTTCGTCACATGAATTTCGTATGTTTTGCTTAAATTTTTTACGGTATATTGACTAAACAAGAATTATACTTAATCTATGCAAATAATCATTATGTTATTTAAGAGTCGGCACTATCTTTACATTGACGAAACTAGAAAAAGAATCTATGCACGACTAGAATTATCAATACAATAAAACAAAAAAAAAAAAATTCATTGTTCAATTATTAGTATTATTATATCAGTATCAATAAGTACTATAAAAAATGTAGCTTCTTTATAGAGTAAAATTTTTAAATGAAATGGTATGGTTACATAGATTTTATATACATTTTTTTTTCGAAGTGACAAAAGTGAAAAAATTAAAATGTAAGATTTATCTAGCACCGCGCTAGATGAATTTTACATTTTTTTTTGCATATTAAATTATTATATTCGTTCGAAATTTGAATATATTTTTTTCTTGCAGTCAGTTTATCTAGAATAAAAAATTTTGCCAAGCACGATAAAACTAAATTGTGTTTCATATCTTACCTCAAGATGAACTACTCTTAGAATTACTATAATAATATAAAATACGGGTCTCTCTATTTCCTACGATATATGTAATTACCTAACTTATTAAGTAAAATTATATTAAAAAAATTTTTAGAGATTTTGACAATTTTATAATAAATTAGCTAGGATTGATTTAAATTGAAAGTAATTTTCTATATTTTTTTAATATAAATTTAGCTTTTTTCAAAAGCAATAGTGAACAATTTTTACTAAAAAAAAATTGAAATTGGCCCGCAATTGGCGGAGAAATTGGTGGACATATGTAAAAAATATACAGTTGAACTTAGAAGCACTTCCTTTTTCGAAATCGATTAAAAATATACACAATGTCGTTTGTATTAATCTAGATATTATAATTATTATTTGAAATAAGTTCCGTTTGGTTACAGCATGAATTTCACTTCACACAAGGATATGGCATGACGGAAGCTTCGCCTTTGGTCACAATAAGTCCTATAGGAAGCAAGGAATACGAGACATCTGGATTTGCATTGCCTAATATCCAACTGAGAGTAGTTGATGGGGATTTAAAAAACTTGGGTCCCGGCGAGGTCAGTATAGACAATGCTTTATTTACGTCATCATCATACCAGCCTTTAACTGTTCACTGATGAACATAAGCCTCCCCTTTGGGGGGTTTTTTTTTGTAGTTACCACGCTTGATAGGCGGATTGGTAACCGCAGTGAGGCTTTAGAGATGTTTTAATAGGGACGCTACTGCCGATCTCTCATCTTCCCTTAGTCGGCTCTTACGACACTTACAGGAAAGGAAGGGGTGGCCTATTCTATGGCGGGACCACACGGCCATTTTATTTTCATTTATTTATTCATACTGATTAGTTATATAATAGTAAATAGGCCACCAGTTCGCCGCGTGGTCCCGGCATAGAACGGGCCACTCTTTCCTTTTTGTAGCAATATACTGAGCATAGAACTATTTCACTGAACATTGCAACACACACACACACACACACATATATTTACCTGCTTTATTTGAGGAAACGATAGAAACTTTTTAAATCGTATTTTTTTGTTTTGGTTTATAATTAATATCGTCATGCTTAGTTTTTTTATTTATGCCACTGTGTGAGTCTAATAATTCTATAAACTTTCTTTCTTTCTTTTCTTTCTTAAGGAAAAATAATATGAGGGGTCTCAATAAGAGCAACAGATGTCTGTCTGTATTTTTGTTCTGGCATCACGTAAAAACTATTGCATCAAAATTGGATGCCATTTTTACATTTGTATTCCTTTAACGTGCAACATAAAATCTGGTGGATGTTTTATTTTGATACGTTATTTAGAAATGGCCTAATTCATTAATTTTCCTACTTCTAAAATTTATACGTACTAAGTAATGAAAAAAAAAATTAGGAAGTATAATAATTATCACCGGCATCATCATATCAGCCTTTAATCTTCCACTGTTGAACATAAGCCTCCCCTTTGGGGGTTGCTACGCCGGGACCACATGGTCATATAATAAATATTATTATTATAAGAAAATATATTCTATTCTGCACCTGTATGGATATTCATATATATATATATATATATATATATATATATATATATATATATGACCTATTTATGCTTTAATTCCTTCTACCCAAAGGTTGTCTGGAAGAGATTGCTTAGGAATAAGACCGCCTTTTGTACTACACTATACGTATTGAAAATTGTTCAACAAATCCTGTTATGTTGGTGCAATAAAGTGATAAATAAATAAATAAATAATAAATTTGAATGAAATATGGTGCATGAGTAATATGATCTATATTAGGGTATGATCTACTCGTAAACCAATTTTCATTCAAATTTGTTTAGTAGTATTTGCGTGAAAGAGTCACAAACATCTATTGTTACAAAATTTTGCATTAAACATATTAATTGGAATGATTAGGAATTTTTTAAAAAAAAAAATTACATTATGTTTTAATGTAAAACTACTGATTTATCTTGTAATTTAGTCGAGAAAACTCGACTAGTTTCCGGACAATTCGGGACCCTTAGACTCGAGTGGCTGCAATGCGAGCGCAAGCTAACTAACGAAACTAGTCCAGCTTTTTCGATTAAATTGTACGTAAGTAACACCGGTAGTATCTCGTGTGGTTTTGGCGTAGAATAGGCCACCCCTTTCTTTCTTGTAGGTATTGTAAGAGGTGACTAAGAGAGGGCGAGCGTTAGGCAGCAGTATCCCTCTTAAAACATCGCGGTTGCGAATTCGCCTGCCAAGTATGGCAACTACTGGTATAACCCCCCTAGGGGGAAGCTTATGTTCAACATATGATTATGTTACACCGGTAGTTATTAAATTAAATAGGATAGGTTAGGATTTGAAATGGATTAAATTATTATTACAATACAGGTAGGAGAATTACTCATCAAAGGACCAAATCTTATGAGAGGGTACAAAAACAACCCAGAGGCAAATAAAGAAGTGTTTGTTGATAATGACTGGTATAGGAGCGGAGACCTGGTGAGCATCAACGACCGTGGACTGGTCACTATCGCTGATAGATTGAAAGAACTTATAAAGGTAAAAAATATGATTGTTTAAATAATATTTTTTTGTATAATTAAAATTTTACTGCAATGGCGTCTCACTCGTCTTTTTACCATAAACAATACTTATCCTAAATATGTTTAAGAATAAGTCAGATATTTTCATAAATACTAGATATTGACAGACGCTCTCTTTAAGTTTTTAACAGTTACTCTTAATTACTAATATTTTTACATGTTAATAATAATAAAAAAAAAAAGTATCTAAAATGAATTAAGTAGCTAGTAAGTAGTATTGAATTATGTGAAATAAATAAATTAGTAGTGTTTTGGTTTGAAGCGATGTTGTAGTGAAATTATTGGGTATACACATTAGACCTGTTTATATAATTATAGTGGTTTTTTTTTAAATATAATAATGTGTAGTTAATATGTACCTATATAAACCTTAATTAACTTGGATATAAAACATTTTTTTAATACTCGTATTCTTAATCTATGATTGCGGTGAAAGATTATCAAAATATTACTGGCACGTACACGTTCATACTTCTAAATTTAAATTAAAAACAAAATTATGTAAAAGGCGTAGATTGAGAAAGGTACTATTCCTAATCTATAATCGGATTTGAATTAAATTATCGAATGTTTACATAGCTACAAAGTTATTTAGGTAATTTAGTTATTTATCTGAGTGTGCTTTGAATTTTAATGAAGTTTCTGTATTTTAAAGGTGAAAGGGTACCAAGTACCACCAGCTGAATTAGAAAACGTGGTCAAGGAAAACCCAGTAGTCGCCGACGCAGCTGTTATAGGAGCCCCGGATCCACAAACAGGAGAGAGGCCAAAGGCTTTCGTCGTCCTTAAAGAGGGAAGTAAAGCAACCGAACAGGACATAATCAATTTTGTTAGTGAAAGAGTAGCGCCTTATAAAAAAATAAAAGAAGTTGTATTTTTAGATAATATTCCTAAGAACCCATCGGGGAAGATTTTAAGAAGGGTTCTTAAAGAAAAATATTGCTAATTGTTTTTAAATCATTAATTATATCGATAGAGCACTGTATGTCAAAAACTTGTTAACATGCAGCTGCCAAATTGGGCTGTCTCAATTTGACACATTTTTTTATACTTGAAATAAAAAAAAATACGCGCCATTTTTTCAGTGTTACGAGTAATTAGATTAAAAATTACCAAGATTTAATTGATTTAAAAAAAAAATGGAATTCGTAACTATAGCTTCTGATATTATATAAATATACATATTGGTTATAGATTAATATGTGTATATTAATTAAAATGGCGATCATTTGCTATTATTTTCAAAACGAAAACATAAGTCTGTACTTGGAGGTACTTGGATATAGATTAAAGTAATCAATAAAATATAAGCATCATTACGAATCATTACTTTCTCTATCAAATATATTCTTAAGAATTTAGTATATTGTATGTTTTCATTTTTCAATTTAACCTTACAGTTTAATTTCTCCCATATACTGAAAAATAAATGTACATTATTGTGGCAACTACTGGAAAAACTCCCCAATGAGGGGATGCATTTAAGGTTTAGAATCGTTCAGCAGTGGACAGTAGAAGGCTGATATGGTGTGTTAAACTTATTCATGCACATATGGATAAAAAATTATCTGTTTTGATGAAGATAAGGTTTGCTGGAAGAAATCTCTTATTAGAGATTAGCTCGCCATGTTTAAAATGAATTGTGCTTAACATTTTATTTTACGTACAATAAAGAATAAAGAAGCATTCAGGAGACAGTCTATCTATATAGTCTAAGGTTTAAATACAGAATATTTGATGTTTAGTGCAACCAGAGGGAGACTTTGTACAGAAGTCGATTGCTTGGCTACCTCTGTCCCTTTCGTGTTTCAACTGTGAAGCAGTTGTGTTTGCATGTCTGTGTTTCGGTTTGAAGGGTGGGATGTGGCGTGAATTTACTGGGTGCAGAGGAATGACACCTGAGTCCTCAGGAATGGCAACGCATGGGGGGTATCATGGACAAAACAGTATACTCTGTTATTTCCATGGTACTGCTCATGTCTATAGGCGGCGGTTACCACTTTCCATCAGATGGGCCGTCAGCTTGTTTGCCATTCTAAGTTGTATAAAAAAATTAAATGAATATATAAAAAAAAAAGTTAATGTAATTTAAATAAAAAATCTTAAAACATCACCTGTATTTACTTACTTTTATCTTAATTAATTTTACAAATTAATTATTATTTCAGCATGATAATAGAACTGTTCACATACACAAGTGACGGTTATCTTTTTCCATTATTCAGCCGTTAGCCATTTTGTTTAATAAAAAAACAATTATATAATAAAAAAATTGTCCCCTATAAAGATATAACTCAGATATTTCTAGCTATATTTTTTAAATAACGCACGTTACTAGGCTAAATATAGTCAACATATATTTATTTACGTCACTACAACTGTGTTATGTAAATTCATCACAATTAATATACAGGCGCCAAGACGCACATATATTTTATATATTGCCATTCAAAATTACTCCATATTAATATAATATATACTGATTAGCATAAGAATACAGTGAACTGCGATTATTTAGCTTTTTGTTTTCCATTAATAGTGTCATTCGATTTTGATCTTTATTGTTAAATAAATAAGTTTGTATATTAATAAATAATATTTATGGCATTTTTGACATATCAAATTTATTATAGTTTCACATTTTTCAACTTGGAATTTCTATGTTTGATAGACGACCTTGGTGTGTAGTCGTTTTACACAGTACCTCCATCTGCCGGCGTTCATAGGTTCGGCCTTCGTGTAATATAAACTTCATAGAGAAAGTCGATTTTTTTACGGTACTTAGAATGGCAATGTCGTTTGCTTGGGTACCTCTGTCCCACTCGTGTTTCAACCGTGAAGCAGTTGTGTTTGCATGGCTGTGTTTCGGTTTGAAGGGTGGGATATAGCGTGAATTTACTGGGTACAGAGGAATAACACCTGAGTCCTCAGGAATGGCAACGCATGGGGGGTATCATGGGCGAAATAGTGTACTCTGTTATGTCCATGGTACTGCTCCTGTCTATAGGCGACGGTTACCACTTTCCATCAGGTGGGCCGTTAGCTTGTTTGCCATTCTAAGTTGTATAGAAAAAAATACTTAGGGAATAAAATGGTAATTTTTATTTCCATAAGAAAATGTGCATCCAGTAGTTTACGGTAGGGAGTAAAACACTTACCATCAGGTGAGCCGCATGCTCGTTTGCCCCATGTGTTATAAAAAAAGTGCAATGTTTGTTGCTTCAATTAGTTATTGTATAATTTGTAACACGCGAGATGAATGGTATGAGTATACCGTAACAAAGTGAAAGAACCCATTAATTTTATGTAGTTCCCAGTAATATATTTAAAAGTCACTATAATATTGTAAAAACCTAGGTTGGAACGTATTCTGGAATTCGACGCTTGTTTACGCACGTGAAATTAGTTCGATTTTTATTTTTCGAAGAAGAACCGGTCTTTAATGGGATCAAAACTGTCTGATATGACTTCATTTGCGTCAGTAGCAAAACGGATCTAATTCCGTGCATATTTCATTTAATGTTAAATTAGGGGAAAAAATTTAATGCTTGAAGCCGGATATATAAAATATTTTACTTAGCAAAAAAAAAAAAAAATAGAAACTTTAGAAACAAGATACTCCGCAGTCACATTAGATTGATAATATTTGAAAAAAGAATATTTTTTTTGATGGGTGAAAATGGTATGGCAACCCCGCCTGCGCTAACGGGATACGCTGGCGGGGCACCAGTGAAGGGTAAACGATGAGAATGAAAACAGGCCAGTTAACCCATCATGATGAATTCATCAGGAATTAACCATGATAGTTTCCAGGGGGAACCGCGAGGAGGCCGACCTGGTTGGGTATATTGTTAGCAATGGGATTCTCAGTCTCCATTACTAACAATCCCTTTCCCGCCAATAAAGAATATTGATTTTGAATCGAAAAAACTTGTATTGTTTGGGTCTGGAATCCACAAACATCGCGATATAAAGCAGTGAATTACTGCTTCATCACCAGGGTAGTGATCATTACCATTATATATATTACTAGCTGACTCGGTAAACATTGTTTTACCATAAACATTATTTCTAGAACTATACATGAAAATATATAGTATTTAAATTTTTATTTTTGATTGCCATCTTGCAACCCTATTGTGGAATATAAAAATCGCGATTAAACAACAGGGGTTGATCGTAAAAGCGTGAAAATTTAAATCTGTATGTATTTTCCAATGCTAAATCATAATAAAATAAAAATTAACAATAAAAAATAGATGTTAGACGATTCTCAGCCCTACCGAATATGCACACAAAATTTTATGAAAATCGGTCAAGTCGTTTCGGAGGAGTTTGGTAACAAACACCGTGACACGAGAATTTTATATATTAGATATATTGGCCGGCAGCACACCTGCAATGCCGTTAGTGTTGTGGGTGACCATGGGCGGCGGTAGTCACCTACCATCAGGTGAGCCGCATGCTCGTTTGCCCCCTGTGTTGTAAAAAAAAAATATGATTACTTTGGTGAAAATTAATTATACAAGACTATGAATAACTTTAATTTGAATGTCAAAGTTCCATACAAATTAAAGGTCGGAAATCCGACGTGTACTGAATATAATTTTCTATGAAAATTAATTATGTTTTGTGTTAAGATTTAATAAGTTCTGTGCCTGTTATTACCAAATATATTAGATTCTAATGAAGAGAGAAAATAGCATAAATCTGATACAATACCATAGGGGGAACTGTACAAATTTCATCTGCTTGGATTCCTCTAACTAGAAATATTTAGGCAACATTGATATACCTAATTCATTCGATGTTTGTCATGCAATACATCGAATTGATTGGATCTTTCGACAAATATATTTTTATTCGATATATCGATATATTTATATTCTATTATATATATTATATTTATATTCTCAAAGAGGGTTGACGTCAGGCAGGTGGCCGGCCGGTCGTAAAACTAAAAACCAAATCTTTTTGTAATATGGATAAAATTATATTACGCCGACCCCAAATGATTGGGATAAGGGTAGGAAGATGATGATATCGATATATTTATAACTTCGAATCGATTAAAAAACTAACTTTGACTAATACTAACAATAAAAACAAAGGTAAAATTAATTTAATTATTTCAAGTTTAAATAGATTACATTAACAAGTAGTGACACCTGTGAGTGAGCAACTAGTGGAATAACTGTGAAATATATCTATTCTGGGGCACTAGTGAGGAATGATAAGTGACGACGAAAACAGGTCACTTAGCCCATCATGACGATTTCCACTAGAATTAACCACGATGGTTTCCAGATATGGGAATTATATATTCCAGGGGACTATGTGGAGGATGACCTGACAGGGTGTATTGCTAACAATAGGTCAGTTAGACCCCATTACTAATATTATATCAGGGGCATCACAGTACATATATATATATATATGAGACACCAATGATCCACTCACTCCAAATTTATACTATAAGATGAGCAAACTGTAGTGGCAATGGGTTAGTTAAATAGCTCGAAGAACCGCCAACTGATTGGTTCTTGAGTTTTTGATTGAGAACCCCGTACGGGCAAACGCAGTGTAGGACGACTCCCTGCTAGATGGAGTGACGACTTCAAATGTATTGCAGGGAGTCAGTGGATGCAGGTGGCTTTGGACTGTTCCTTCTATGGGGTCTATGGAGGAGGTCTATGCTCAGTAGTGGACAGATAACGGCTGATATGATAATGATGATGATGATATTAATAAGAATAGTTTGTTATTTATAAAACTTAAAAAGTTTAGTTGTTTAAAAAGCACCTTAAGTTTATTTGAACGAATTTCGGTAAACTCTATGTGGAGGTCGTGACCGCACAATTAAAGGGAAACAATTTCATGTAAATTCTTTGCCTACATTAGTGCTGTCTAATACTCGTTACGTGTCGATTTATTATTCGATTTTTTTTATACCACTGAGGTGACAATCAAGCATACGGCCCACTTGATGGTAAGCGGTTGCCGTAGCCTATGAACACCTGCAATACCAGGGGTATTATGCGACATGTAACAATTACACATTTTTGTAAGTGATGATCGATTCGATACTATAGATAGGACTAATCGATTATGATATTGGATTCTAGAGAAATAGAAAGTAATCGATTATTAACTGATAATCGATTGTTAGCGACACTAGACTACATTTAGTTCTGTCAGACATATGCAGAGCGTCGCCTTAACGAACAGGAATGTAAGCATTATTTCAGTAGACTCTAAGAACAAGGAATTACATAGATGGAGTGATAAAATTGTCAATTCATAGCAAGCTAGTGTATAGAAAATATATTTTCTCATACAAAATTCTACTCCTCTTTTTTATCCT